AATATATATATATATATATATATGTACATATTTATATGTGTGTATCTATATATACATGTATGATAAACCGGAATCGCCGAATCGGTCTGGAGTGTTTAAAGTATATGCCAAATGAGGGACGCGTTTAGAGGTACATGAAGAATCGGAATCCACCAATCGATCGGGAGGGGGGGCGTACTTAAGGCATATGATACCAGGAATCGCCACATGAGGGGTGTGTTTAAATGTTTATGCAAAACCAGAATCGCCCAATCGGGGGGTGTTTTCAGGTATATAATAGCCGGAACCGCCAAATGAAGGACGCTTTTAAGTATATATGACAAAACTGGAATCGTCCAATGGGGGGGCGTGTTTAAGAATTCTTTAAGGTATGTGAACCCAACTGGTCTGGCGTGTTGAAGGTATCTGAGAACCGGAATCGCCAAACGAAGGGGGGCTGTTTGAGATATGTGATGAACCGGAATCGCCTAAACTGGGGAGCGTGTTTGAACAATATATATATATGATGAACCCACTGGTCTGGCGTGTCTTGTGAAAGCAAACAAATCCGACAGGAGTCATGAAAACTCACGGCCAGATGAAAAAATGGAATCGAATTGTCGAGTCATGTCACAGTCATTGTTTCGACACCGGGTCTCAAGACTTCGGCGAGGTGCAAGCAATTCTGAAGCATCAGACCTGGAACAGTTTCCGAAATTAAAAGGTTGATGTTCCACATCTGCAAACTTGGCAACTCCACATATTCTCAACTGCACATTCCACCTCAAATTTTCGAATACACACGTAGCAATGAAAAGTAAACCGCTTACGTGCAATGATGATCTAAAGTCTACAACTCGTGCTTAACAACTTTCACACTTGCAGAGCAGAGCCTGGTCTATGGCGAGAGCACCACAGCGCGAACGGGACGTGATTACGGTCGGGCCAGAAGCTCCCTGAAGGGAGAAAACCATGGACGTCATCATGTTTTGGGCCAAGGGTGTTCTCTTGTCAGAACGGATTGGACCATGGACGTCATCAAGGTTGGGCCATGGATCTTCCTTTTCAGAATGGGTTAGACCATGGACGTCATCATGCTTGGGGGTGGGAGGAGGGAAACAACCTAACCTAACACTAACCTAAACCCTGCCCAGCTTCCCCTGATGAGGGGACCTAAGCCCAATAAGAACGACTAAGGCTGGGCCCCTAAACCCGACCTAGCCCGCTTTCCCCTAAAATTTGGGGAGCAAGGCCCTAAACCCTATGCCAGGTTTCCCCTGCAAAATTGGGGACCTTGGCGAAACCCTATGCCCGGTTTCCCCCTTCGGGGGGCCTAGGCAGGTATGTCCTAAACCCTAAACCAAACCCTGAAACGAAACCACCCCCACACGCAAACCGCAACCCTAAAAACCGGAGGGTGGAGGGGTGGGGGGAAGTTTGAGCCAGTCTATACACGAAGTTTGAGCCAGTCTGTACATGTCTGTGAAACACACGTCTGTACAGAAACATGCCAGACAAGGCGGGAAAGCATTTTGGCCTGGGTGACATGAAAGCCTGGCTATCACAGAACACACCGGCGAAGCAGGTTGGTAATGATCCCTGCCTGCAGAGTCCAATGAGTGTATGATATCCCTGCGCATACTGCGGTTGTGCAGGATGGGCCTCGAGACCAAATCTTTCTGCGAAAGGCGTCGGGACCAAATCCTTCCGGAAGCGCCTCGGAACAGACCTTTAAGGAAGGGCGTCGCGACAAAATCTGGCCCAGGATACTGTTGGCCCTTGGTACTGGGCGCCGAGGCACCCCGATTACCTTTTGTCGGCATCACATGTGCCAGAACACACACTGCTGCCAGAGATGCAAAGGCATGGACCGGTGAGCAGCAAGGTGGACGATGCCCGCTCTCAGCATTTCCAGTCCAGTATATTCGCCAGGCGCCCAGCATGTGACTTGACAAGTGCACTTGCAACCTCGACCCCAAAAGCCCCCAAGAGTTGGAACCGTGTTGCAACTTTCCGGCGTTGACATGAAGCACAGAGGCCATCAAGGTTCTGTGAAGGGGGGTATATAAGGTATGTGATACCAGGAATCGCCAAATGAGGGGTGTGTTTACATGTTTATGCAAAACCAGAATCGCCCAATCGGGGGGCGTTTTTTTCTGATAGCCGGAACTGACAAATGAGGGACGTTTATATATATATATATATATATATATGTATATATATATATATGATGATGAACCGGAATCGTCCGATGGGGGGCGTGTTTAAGATTTTTTAAGGTATGTGATGAACCCCACTGGTCTGGCGTGTTGAAGGTGTACGATAGCCGGAATCGCCAAGTGAGGGGCAAAATTGAATATATGTGATAAACAGGAATCGTGTTTAATGTATATGGTAGCCGGAATCGCCAAATGGACGTGTTTAAGCATATGTGACAAACCGGAAATATGATGAACCCAACTGGTCTGGCGTGTTGAAGGTATATGATAACCGGAATCGCCGAATGAGGGGGGGCTGTTTGAGATATATGATGAACCGGAATCGCCTAATCGGGGAGCGTGTTTAAGAGAGAGAGATATATATATATATATAAGATGAACCCACTGGTTTGGCGTGTCGAAGGTATGCGACAGCTGGAATCGCCAGATGAGGGGTGTCTTTAAATACATATGATAATAGACCGGAATCGCAGAGTGGGGGGGGGGGCGGGGTGTTTAAGGCATATGATAGCTGGAATCGCCAAATGAAGGGCGTGTTTAAATAGAATTATATATATATACACATATATATATATATGTATATGTTAAACCGGAATCGCCCAATGGGGGGGTGTTTGAGATATATGATGAACCCCGATGGCCTGGCGTGTTTAAGGTATATGACAGCAAGAATCGCCAAATGAGGGGCGCGTCTAAAGATCAAGAATCGGAATCGCCCAGTCGGGGGGCGTGTTTAAGGTATATGATAGCAGGAGTCGCCAAATGAGGAGCGTGTTTATATATATATATATATATGGCCATATATATATATATATATGGTAAACATGCAGGAATCGTCCGATGGAGGGCGTGTTTAAGAACCCCGCAGGTCTGGCATGCTGAAGGTATGTGATAGCCGGAATCGCCAAATGAGGGGCGTGTTTAGATATATCTGATGAACCGGAATCGCTCCATTGGGGGGCGTGTTTAAGTTATATGACAACCGGAATCGCCAAAGGAGGGGTGTGTTTAAATATACGTATATACATTTACATGATAAACCGGAATCGCCCCATGGGGCGCGGATTAAGGTATATGATAGCCGGAATCGCCAAATGAGGGGCGTGTCAAAAAAAAAAAAATATATATATATATATATGATGCACCGGAATCGCAGAATGGTGGGGTGTTTAAGGTATATGATAGCCGGAATCGCCAAATGAGGGGCGTGTTTAAATAAATATATATGTATATGATATGCTCAAACCCTAACTCTATGGCCAACCTTGCAATTTCCAAGTATCACCACTGCGTCTGAAATGTGTGTCTGAAATGCAACTTTGCCGAACTTCATGCCTGAAATCGGACCTGAAATCTACCCTACCGCGTCTGAAACGTACAACGCTCGAGGAACGGAGAGACACAGAGATAGAGGTCGAGATCGGGACGGGCATGGTGGCAGAGAGCTGGACATAGACAGTAAATAGACGTTCTGAAAACGCAAGGACAAAGCACACAAATGGATGATATTGTATTCATACGTTATAATATGCTACGTGACGCATGCATACGTACCTACCTACCTACCTACATACATACCTGTACCTATGTAAATGTCTACACAAGTACATGTATACGGGCAAACATACGTACATTCAAGCACGCAAACATACGGGCACACCAACAAGCAAGCACGCAAGAACGCAAGCAAGTTGGCAGCTAAGCAAACGAACAAACAAGAAACATAGATGATCATAGATGCATACATAGCCTACATACCTACGTGCATGCCCACATACATACGTACCTACATACATGCATGCATGCATGCATACCTACATGCGTACAATGGTCATTCTTGCATGCATGCCCGCATTACATACAAATCATACTGATTTCTCGGAACATAGATACGTAAGTGAAAGTGCATCTCCATAATATCTATAATATCTATTTGCATGTCAAATGATGGTATTTCCGACTGTATGAGGAGCTAAGCCCCCTGCGGAACTGCAGGCGCTTACTGCGTGCAAGCCATGGCGGCCCGAGCGCTTTGGAAGCTTCGGTTTGAGATTTCGGTGTTGAAGTCTAGACTGTTAGGTTTGGGTGTTTGGGCTCAAAGCCCCGGGGCTTTTGGGGGATGGGGTGATGGGGATGGCAAGTTTAGGCCTCAAGTTGGGGATTGCATGGGTTCAGGCTTACTATGGGCGCAACCAGGATTTAGGCCTATCGCAGTGCAGGAGTCAGCGATTGGGATTACTGGGTTTAGGGTGGATTGGGGTTATAAAATTGATTGCTCAGGGCTGCGGGATCAAGCGCTCCTCCGTCTCGGCAAACACCCACAAACCGACGTACCAACACAACACACCAGCACACCCACCCAACATACAACACACCAATGCACCGCAACGGCACTCTTTTCAGGCCAGATGGTACATCAAGCTTTGCGTCAGCGACGAGCATTGCCCAGCAGGAGCCCTCAAGGTAGCCAGGAGAAATGCCGTCGCAAAAGAAGTGCCCCCACTTATGGGAGGGCGGGAGGGTGATCTTGAAAATTTCCGCGGCGGCCCGTGCACGTGCCAAGCTATGCAAACACGTTCAGAGAACTCTAATGCACCGCAACGGCACTCTTTTCAGGCCAGATGGTACATCAAGCTTTGCGTCAGCAACGAGCATTGCCCAGCAGGAGCCCTCAAGGTAGCCAGGAGAAATGCCGTCGCAAAAGAAGTGCCCATATTTGCAAGCTCCGTCCGAAAAGAAGAGAAAGAAGAGCATCCGCAGACTAGCTTGCGTGCACAGTGCCCATACTTGCTTGCCATCTGGTCATGACCGAGCATAGCATTGCTCAAATCTTCGCGCTAGGACTGCAACTTCCGCATTGTAAAATGCCTTGGCAATGACATTGCACAAACGAGAGGGATAAGGCTCGGCCCACTTGGTGCGCCATTGCCCTGCTGCAGTGCGTCCCTGTAGTGGTACATGCGGCTGCTGAGTGAAATCACAGATGCGCTTGCCCCGACATTTGTGGAGCTCGAGCACGCTCAGGCCGATGTGTACGCCAAGGAAAGCTGTAGGTTTCTTGAAGGGCTTGCCCCATGCACAGTAGTGAGTTGTCCAGCGGCCAACGTGTGGCCGGCGAAGCAAATGTCGCACTGGCGGGCAGAGCCACAAGCGCGAGGTTAGCGGGTTCTCCAGACTGGCGCAAAGCCGCAAGCGCCAGCACAAGAGCACTACCTTGACAGAGAAGCGCATCCACAAATTACCCAGCTCCACTTTGATTTGGTCGGAAGGGCCTAAGTTGTACAGCCCCAAAGGCTGCACATCGCTTCGAAGAGGTCGCCACAGCATGACGAGACCTCCACAATGCTGTGCCAGAGCTTTGCCGAGGCTCCCGCTGCCGGAGAAGATCTCAATGTACACGCGCTCTGTGGGCCCAGCAGGGACACTTATAAGGCAGGCCACACACCACGGAGCGGATGTTTCGGCTGGCCTCCAGCGCTTTTTGCCGCGTTGCCTTGGAGAGGGCCTGCGTCTGCTGGGTGACGCGCCCCCCTTTCTCGTAACGGCGCACACTGCTGAAGCTGCGCCAGCGCCCGCGCTTTTGTACTTCCTGCAAGTTCCGAAGTCCCAACAGAATGTCGCGGCTCGGACCTCCATGGCGAAGACGGTATGGGTGGGGGTCGCCCACCGCTGCTTCCATGCCGTATCGGCTCCCCACACTTTGCATGAAGCTCCGCACCGTCTCCAGATCCACTGAAAACAATGGCTCCGAAGTGCCTCGATGGCCCACCTTGAGCAGCCGGAAAGTCTGCTCGGCGATCCACACAATCTCTGGGAGGTCGAACAAAACAGTCTCGTCGAACTCCCCTGTCTTGGACGGCGTCCCCTGCTCCAGCGGGTGAAGGATTAGCGACCACGCAGTGACGACCCCAATCGGCGGCACCAGACCGCCCACCAACAGTCTGGCCACTTCTCCCGGTCTCAGGTATAGGTCACAAAGGCGAGCAATATATAAAGGGCCACTTCGATCATGTTGCGGGTGACGGCCTCCATAGCCATCAAGCACGCGACTTCCCAAGGTAGCGGAAGCCTCGGCTTTGGCGGGTCCAGTCGACGCCACCCTGCAAGAGTTTGCTTCGCCAGGTCAACCCGCCTCTGCTGCCTCGAAGGTGGGGCTGGTAGAACTGAATCGCCGCAATGAGGTACTGGCCCTGGCTCAACTCCTCGCCCTCGTCGAACAAGTCCTCCAAGACCTGGCTCGCCGGAAGATCGAGGTCGCTGGCTGAGTACTTCTCGGTCACGCTCAGCCCTGCCGCCGTGCACATCCGCCTCCACAGTTTGCTGGACCGCTCCCTGCAACCCCGGCTTACCGACGCCTCCGCCAGCGCCCCGAACTCCTGCCTCACTTTGGCCCGGGCCTTCGCACGGGCTTTCTTCACATGTTGCAGACTGGGACCCACAGGACGGTTGCGGCTGGCTGGTGGTCGCGCTCGGGCTTTGGCTGCGGCCTTGGGCAGCTGGACAAACTTGTGCACCACCACGGGTCACCTCGGGGCTTGATGGAAACAAAGAGCCACGTGATGGCCCGTCCGCGGGATTCCACTCCGAGGGGAAGAACCTGAACTGGACGCTGATGCCCGAGCACAAGCACAGGCAGGCCAGCTGTTGAGTCACCCGGCGCATTCCGAAAGAGCGCCCCCGGCCTCGATCAAGAGCGCAGATGGCCGCGGTAGAATCGGACAGGATGAGATGCCGCTTGTGAAAGGAAGTCACATTGCGCAGCAGTCGTTTCACAGCAAACAAAGATGCCCTCCCCTCAAGAACGGCATGCCCTCTTGTCGCTTCCACTTATATCGCCCCACCACACGCCATTTACGATCAACTTGGCCGGGCGCAACCGGCACGAATCTATCAGAAAGCAACTTGCCCTCAACGACCGACAGGGGCACGGGCCGCGCCTTGGCATTGCCGTCTCCGATGTGGGCCCACTGTAGGCTGCGAGCCTCATCAGAATCGTCATCGATAGCGGCAGCACCAAAAGCACTTGCACGGGGACAGCGGTACTCGGGGATCTCAAACCTCCATCGTTCCGAATACTTTCCTAATTGGCGAACCTCCGCCGGCGCCCAAGCCCCACGTTGAGGCATCGACCGCCGAGACCTCCGATGACCAGGGAATCACCAAATCTCTCCAAAGCAAAGGTGCGATTGAGGTCCAGATCAGCAATTCTCTTCTCACGCTAGGCCAAAAACGATGATTCTGCTCATAGTGGGTACGAACAAAAGTATACGACTCACCAAATACGGATAAAGCTTCACGGCGACCTAGGGCAATAAAGGTTGCGTGCCCGAGCACCTTTTCGAGCTGTTTGCCACTGCAAGTGCCACGGTCCAGCAAAAACCGGATAGCAGCAATGAGGCGCCACACCCGGTGGGACAAGGGCCGGAGCTTCTTTCCGTGAAAACACCATCCCAAAACCTTGATGTTCCCCTCGCCGCTCTCAACCTCATGCACCACCAAACCTTTGTCCCTCAAGGCTTGCACCCCTGCTGCCGCAAGTGCCTCGACTTGATCTTTGGCCGTGCCAATGCACACGAAATTGTCGACATATTCTAAGTGCATGCACTCCGGAGACGGTACCGAGGCGCGATCCTCGAGGCACTTTTCGGCTGTGGCCCCAACATTCGCCACGACCCGCTGATGGATGTTTTGGCACCACCACAAGGCGTGCGTCCAACCCATCGGCAACACCTTCAGGCGCGGGAAAATTAAGGAGGACGCTCTCAAAGTCTTACCGCCCAAAGCGTTGATGCTGAGGTCGCCCGCAGATAGGGGCCGCATACCGAAATAAGGCCGAAGCTGAGAAGGGAGCTCGAAGTGGTAGAAGGCGTCCTTCAGGTCGGCAGTGGAAATGTAGAGGTCGCAGTCCGTGCCACCCAAGTCGATGCGGCTGAGAACCTCGGCCGTCGCCAAGTTCACCTTGTCAGGAGGGGCAAACCAGGCATTCGACCGCCGACAATCCACCACCATCCGAAGCCGACCGTCCTTCTTCCGCACAAAGAAAGCCTCGACCTTCTCCACGGGCTCCTCAACGGTGAACTCGACGAGGCCACCATCCCAAAGCCGCCGAACAAAATCACGATACACCCGGGCCTCCAAAAGTCGGGGGTCCGAGTAGCACTTCACCACGCAAATTGTGCAGGGCCTCATTCTTCTGCAAAAGCCGAGTTGAGATGAAGTCCTCAACGATGTTCATCCCATCGCCTCCGAGAAGCGAATGGAGAGGCACAGGTGGCACCTCACCGGTCGGCAGGCTCAGAAGGCTGGGCTCGTACGAGGCGACGAGTGGCGGGGCTTGGTCCTCCCCGTACCCGTGAAGCTGCCGAAGCGCCTCTCGACCACTGAGCTCCTGATCGGGAGCCCCCAAAAGATGCACCGAATTTCGCATGTGTTCCAAGGCAGCCAGCTGCGCCCGTGAAGGAGCCTGGGTCGGCGACTTCGCTTTTCCAAACTTCTCCCACTATACAAAGTATATTGAGCCCCCGAACACAATCAGTAACCATACTCTCCTGGTGCCACCTTCGCTCCAGGCGGCGCTTGACACGCCTTGAACCGTCAAAGCCGCCGTCGAACGAAGCTGCCGGCACCGGCAAAGGAAAAATGTCTCTGGGGACGCGACGTGCGTCGCCAAATAAAAAGGGAGTTCTCATAGCCGCCTGCGATGCACCCCCAACAGCCGCAGGCGGAGCCCAGCTCAGGGGTTTCCACCACCCTTCTTCTTGGCCAGGTCCCGCTCCTCGCGGGCTTTCCTGAAGTTCTTCGAGAGCTGCGAGTCGCGCTCCACCTCCTGCTTCACATGCTCCAGCAAGGATGGCGCGATCATCAAGGTCCCGGCCTGCCGAACCAAAGAACCGAAAGTGTACTGCTCCTCTAAGCTGAGCTTGCCTCCGACCGTCTTCGATTCGATCTCCCGGGCCCTCTCTGAGTGAGCGTACTCGATTGTCTGGACCCGCCTGAACATGAGCTCCACCCCGTAGCAGTTGCAAGCATCTATACCTGGTCAACTTGGATCAGTTGCCGAAGGAACATGCTGGTCTGAAAGTGCTCCTGGACCCCCCAACCACCGGCATCGATGCGGCAGAGCTGTCTGAATCTTTCATGGTGTGCTTCGAATCCAAGCCCCTCTGCCATGAGGTAGTTCAAGCACCCGTTCGTGGGCCGGCTATTTTCCAACCCATCTCAACTTCCCTCGAAGCAGCCACCACCTCCGAAAGCGGTCGCTCTGGCTGCCCCACGGTGTTGAAGCCTCGGGCCAGGATACGACCATCACATGCGGCCGGCCGACTGTTGAAAGCCAGGCGGGAGGCCTCGCTGATGCACATGCAGAAGAGATCACTGCCATCGGGCATTCGGTGGACTAGCTTGGCTCCCTCGACGGCTGGTGCCACTATGCCTGCAATCACCTCGCCAAACACTGTTGCCGCTGTCCCTTCTGCTGCCACCCACACTAGGCCTCTCCCTGTGAGGTCGCTCGCGACTGGTCCAGCATTTGCGATGGCAGCATTCGAGGGCTGTGCCACGGGCGCGGCAACGGGCTGAACCAGGACCACGGCTGCTGGAGCAGCTGCGGGAGCTGCCACCATAGCACCTGCACCGGCTCCGACCGGCACACCTCCAGCGCCAGGGGCTCCTGCGGCGACCGCAGCCGCTCCAAGCCCGCGTCTGGTCATCTCCGCATCAAACTCTAACCGCCCCAGCTCGCATCACTGCTGCTTACTGGGCCGCCGTCATTGGTGCAAACCCGTAAACCTGGTTGGCTGGAACTCCACGAGCGAGCCTGCCATCCGGAGAGTGCCACATGTATTGAATGTCGGGGTTGTGCCAGGCAGGCTCTTCCACATATATGTCGTGATCAGGGGTGACGATCACCCACTCATCACCCTGCACTTGGTCCACCAACAGCCGGGTGTGGATCACCCCGGGATCTCCATGATAACGAAGATAGACTATCTCACCGGACTGCATCGTGCCCTAGACTCACTGTTCAGCGATCTGTAGGCCCTTGGGGACGCCGTAGACGCCCTTCCCAGGCTTTCCCTTCACCGAAAAAGTGAACTCCTGGAGCCCAGCCTCGTCCTTGCGAAAAGAGACCCTGAAAGCCAGGCCAAGTTGGTCGCCAAAAGCCCAGCCAGCCCGAGACAGACTAGCCACAACCAGGCACCTTCCCCGGCTGAGCGATCAGGAGAGCTCACCGCGCAATGACACACACAGGGCCGAACGTCAGGCTCACGGCTCCCGGTCTTCAGCCAGATCCCAAGCAGCAGTCCTGCAGCAGCGCCTCCCACGTGGTAGTCCATGCTATGCTCCTGCCCTTTTGATCTTGAAAATTTCCGCGGCGGCCCGTGCACGTGCGAAGCTATGCAAACACGTTCAGAGAACTCTAGTGCAGCAAACAGCCCCATCCACCAACGAACACGAACAGCAACACACCAACACCCAACACACGCAACACAACACACCAACACAACAACACACCCAGGGTGACCTGCGGACTGGAACGTGGCCCGGGGCGGACAGGGGACCTGCGGCCGGGACCTGGAGAGCTGCGGGGGGGGACCTGCTGCCGAGACCTGTCGTGAACAGAAACTGCATGCTGGGACCAGGCCTACGGAGCGTACCTGAATCCGGCCTGGGGCCGATCCGAAACTGACCACATCCCGATCCGAAACTGACCCGTAGCCGATCCGAAACTGACCCGGGCCTGATCCGAAACTGACCCGGGCCCGTTCCGAAACTGACCCGGGCCCGATCCGAAACTCAGCCCCGAAACTCAACACCGAAACTGACCCCGAGGACCCTGAAACTCGCAACTTCCGTGAACTCTATTCCTTTTCGTTTTGAGTGTGTATGGTCGTGTAGGGTCCAGGCTCCAGGCTGCTTAGGGTGTAGGGGATAATGCAAGTAGTTGGGCTGGCTACGGCCCCTATCTCCGAGAAATTCATTAAGTATAGTACAAGATGGATCAGCACGCTACGGCCGAGGTTTCCCATATCACGGATTTACTAACTTTCAGATACCGTCTTTAAGGATGCCTGTGGGCGTTGTGGCTCTGGCGCTTGGCCTTTGTCTCCAATGCTTAGTAGGGAATGGGGGAATGGATCCCCAAAATACCCCAATAGTAGTCCCCATAATCCGTTCCCTCATTCCCTGCTAAGAACCAGACAGTCGTTTGTTTCTTTGCGTCCACACGACTCCTCGGTACAAGCTCATCGCAAAACGCACTATTGAGCTGACATGTGCCCTAAAACCCTGAAAACCCTAAAACACTGTTTTATGGATCTACAGCCCCAAACCCCTCTCGTGATCGTTAAGGCCCCAAAACCCCAGATCCTGAACCCGTATTATGGCCCTAAAACCCTCCCCAAAACCCTAAATAGTAAACCTCCATTATGGCCCTACATCCCTAAAGCCCTATATCGCCCTAAAAACCCTAGATGCTAAACCCCTATCATGGCCCTAAAGCCCTAAACTCCGACTATGGCCCTAAATCCTGTCATGGCCCCCCTAAACCCTAAACCCAAAACCCTAAACCCAAAACCCAAAACCATAAACCCTAAACCCTAAACCCTAAACCCAAAACCCAAAACCCAAAACCCAAAACCCAAAACCCAAAACCCAAAACCCTAAACCCTAAACCCTAAACCCTAAACCCTAAACCCTAAACCCTAAACCCTAAACCCTATAAACCCTAAACCCAAAACACTCGCGGTCCCACCGGGGCCCCGGACACATCGTCTCCTGGGCTAACAACCAGCACGGACCGGGGAAGGCGCTCCAGCAAGAGGATGACCTTCCCCCAAGGGTCCAAAGGACCCAATCATTAGGTACTCGGTTTTAGGATAGTAGTTATGTAGGTTAGGATTTTGGAGAGTATATGATTGTTAGATACTTGGACCCATGGGGTTCAGGAGATACACAAAGGGCTCCTTTAAGGGATCCTTTCAGGGATGCATAGGGTTTAGGGTTTAGGGGCCGAGGGTGTAGCAGCAGCATGACCTTAAGGAGGTTTAGGGTTTAGGATTTAGGCTTTAGGGTTCTAGGGTTTAGAGTTTAGGGCCCAATATGGAAATATTCGGATTTAGGGGCAAATAGGGTATAGCAAGAAGGATGAGTTTCAGTAGATTCAAACGGTTTCAATGGTTTCGGGCAAAGGGCTTGGGGTTTAGAGGCATAAGGTGTTGCCAGAAGGATGACCTTCAGTAGATTCAACGGGTTTAGGGTCGAATATAGCGGCCGTAAAAACGTGTTTGGGGCTTAGGGTTTAGGGTTTTTTGGTGTGGCGGGAAGGATGACCTTCAGGAATGTCTTAAGTATATGGTGATAACCTGGAAGATGGCGAAGACGATGACGATGACGGCGAGGTTATAATCGTGCGAAGAATGATGATGTTCGCGGATGGATGATGGATGGTGACGATGCTGAAGGTGACGTTGAAGATGATAATTGTGATGATGGTGGTGGCGGCGATGGTGACGGCGATGACAATGGCGATGGGGATTGTTGGTGTAAGTATGCATGTGTATGTTTATGAAGATATTATGTACTTTCTCATGCAGATAAGTTTTCGCCCTAAACCTAAACTTCAAACACCCGAGACCCCAAACCTTAAAGCCTGAACACCCGCGCAAAGATCGAACATTCGACATACACACACACACACACACACACTCTAGAGGGGCCTTATATAAAACTTAGAGTAGGGTTTTTGGGGCCCATTACACAATAATTATAGCAATAAGGAACCCTAAGGAATAATATTGGCAATTATTTTGGCTTCTATAACACACGTCAGCACGAACACCAGCACCCGACAAAAGCTGAAACCACAACTTCAAAACCTGATCCTTCAGCCGTTGGTTTAGGGCAAGCTTACGGCTTAGGGCTTGGATTTAGAGTTAAGGTCTAAGGTTTAGGGTTCAGGCTTTGGGTTTGAGGTTGGGAGAAAGTCAACATGAAATCTGCGATCCCTTCAGGAACAATACCTTCACTATCCTATGGGTGCCATTCTCACGCCCACGGCTCCGCCCAGCCTCGACACGCATTCGCCGTACTAGGTCGGCGTAGTTCTCCTACCGGAAAGCGGATCTGTTGAATCCTACGCAATTACCTTTCAACACCCTAAACCCCAGCACGCTAAACCCAACAAAAATCCAAACCTTAAAACCCGGAGCTCTAAACCTCTGAAACCGTCAGGCCTCAGTCCCCCTAACCCCTAAACCCTAAACTGCAAGCCCTAAGCCCCCCCAAAAAAGGAAACCCAAAGATCTTCCATTGTACGTTTCGGGCTTCTGGGCTTGGCACGGAAGTTTGGGGCAGAGCACACGACCAGTCATTCTAACTGTTGTTGGTGGCTCGTTCTATGATATGCTGCAACTATGTTAAGGAACCCCTAGCAATAGTTGTACTCATCACTCAAGCCTCAACGTATGAGCTTCAGAATCCACATGGGCGCACTATGCAGGCATGGGTACAGCCACCCGGTAATTCAGTTCCTCGTCTGCGTGCGTCCTGTGTTTTGGCAAGCTGGTGAGAGGAGAACCAAGAACCCTAAACCCTCACCCTGAAAACCCTGAAGCTAAACCCAGAACCCTAGAGCCAGAACCCTAAACCCCAAACCCAGAACCCTAAACCCTGCCCAGAACCCTAAACCCCAAACCAAGAACCCTAAACCAAGAGCCCTTAACCCTAACCCTGAAAACCCTGAAGCTAAACCCAAAAGCCTAGACCCAGAAGAGCCTGAAAGCGTTTCCTAGCCGAGGAATAAAAGGGGCGCATTTTTTGGTATTGGGTACTTTAATAACCCTGAGACTTCAAATAGCCCAAAGTAGGTACCATTTATAGACTTTAGACCCCAAAGCAGGTACTATTTGTATACTTGGAGTCTTAGGGTGAGGAACCTAGGACTACAAAAAGGTAATAAGGGTACGACTGGGCATCCTAGTTTCTTAGTTCAGAAGAACCTAGGACTGCAAAAAGGGAATACGGGTACTTGGAGGATCATGGGACTTAGTAGGTAAGGTTATAAGTGGTTAGAAGTACCATAATTTAATTGGGGGTATAAGCATAGATTATAAGCCTGGTTACTAAGTCCCATGATCCTTTACAGTAGAAGCCAGAAAATTGGAATATCATTATCGTAACCCCTTTAAGGTACATTATAGGGAATCCTACCAGTAATCCATATTCCAACTTTCTGGAGTTCCCCTTAACCCTGAAAACCCTGAAGCTAAAGTAACCCTAACCCCCCCTCTTATAGAACCCTTATAGATCCCTTTTAAGGAGCCCTTTAAGGAACCCTATAGTTACTAAGTCCCATGATCCTTTAGTTCCCTGTAAGGAACCCCTATAGATCCCTTTAAGGAACCCCTATAGATCCCTTAGGAACCCTTTAAGGAACCCTATAGATCCCTTTAAGTAGTTTCTTAGTACAGAAACACAGCCGCCTCCATGGCGCTGCCATCGCAGCTCCCAGCAGCCCGGCCCTGAAGGGCCCCTTGGTCTTCGATGGCGTTTTGTTAAAGTGGGCCCTAAGGGTTTAGGGCTTAGGGCTCATAGGGTTTATAGGGTTTATAGGGTTTAGGGCTTATAGGGTTTATAGGGTTTATAGGGTTTAGGGCTTATAGGGTTTATAGGGTTTATAGGGTTTAGGGCTTAGGGTTTATAGGGTTAAGGGTTTAGGGCTTAGGGTTTATAGGGTTAAGGGTCTAGGGTATAGGGTTTAGGGTTTAGGGTTTAGGGTTTAGAGTTTGGGGTTCAGGGTTTAGGGTTTCAGGTTTAGAGTTTAGGGTGAGGGGGGGGGGTCAGGGTTTAGGGCTTACGGAAGAAAGTGCTTTCAGAAGAATGGGTATCAGGTAGAAGCAGTATGGCTTAGAGCTCCGGGGATTTAGGATTCTTGTCTTCTCTTCTCCCTTATGGCTTGTCTTCTTTTGCAGAAGTGTCGGGTTGATCCAATTTCGGGCCTAGGGCTGACATAGGGTAGTAGACTGAGAGAGGGTCATCAGTGACTTGAATTGAATAGGTTTTGGGCAGTGTTACAGCTTACAGCGCAGTTATACCGGGATTGCGAAGGAATTCTGCTACCTACTATTCTGAAATCAGATCGCTTCAGTCATGTCTTGAGTTGCTCTTTAGCTCTTGCTGCTTCACTTCTATCCAAAAGCGCTTCGGTTGTGTCAGACTGCATGGGATGGCATAGGGTTGCTACCACGACTTCACGCTTGGAAGTAATTAGCGTTAGGGCTCGGGTGCAAAATTCAACAGGAGCGGAGCGTAGAGGTAGGGATACTCCATTACGTTATGCCTCGCGGTGCACTGCTTCTCGGAAACTTCAAGAAAACCCGGAACCCTATATCTATGTCCCCAAGGCCCAAACCCTAAGCCGTAACCTCGAAACTTGCCATGAACCCGAAGCGAGTTTGCCAAAAGCCCTAGGCCCCACTCCCAAAGATGCTGAGATGATAGGGAATTTATAGTTAGAGGAGAGCTTCTTTAAAGGGTTCTCGATGGGATGTCCAAAGCTTCGAAGAGCAAAGCACCTTAACAACTGGGCTAGTGTTTTCCGGGCGATTGCAGTAAAGGGTCAATATATATGAGGACAAAAAGTGGATACTATCAGTAATACTTATGACCCCCATATTACCTCCAGGGGTCCAAAGGACCCAAAATAAGTTAGGTACTTGGGTTTAGGATAGTTCGGATAGTTTTGTAGTGTCGTGTTTGGGAGGGTATATGCACTTGGACTCTTACGGTCATCATGTCGAGCAGTGGCCTCAGTGTTTTTGCTGTGTAGGATTGCGACGAAAATAGTTGAGTTCAATATAATAACGAAAAAGGCCGGGAGGTAGTGTACAGGCTAGTGGCTAAGTAGTGTGCCTTGTAGGTGTTGTCCACTCCGCGACTCCATGTGGCCCCCTCCTGGGATCGCAGCACTTCGTAGTGCGTCAGCTGCGGGGCCAAGCCAGTCTCATCAGACTTGCAGACCATTTGAGCTCCGACATCTCCAACCTCCGTCTTAAAGGGGCGTAGATGCTGCAAGATTTCCGGCGCTTGCAGCCTGAGATCAGCTCAGCAGTTCTGTCCCTGTCATTATCTGCACCCAGGGTGGATGTCTTCTGCTTGAATACCCTCAACGGCCCTAGACTCTCAGAATTATGGTATATTCCATATGGGTGGTTGTCAAGATTATGGTTCTTTTCAGGTCCCTATCCTATTATAATACGGCACCAGAAAAAGTCATGCTTCATCTCAAGCCAGAAGCTGATCTTCTCCAGGGCTGAACTGCTCCGTCCATGTGCGACTGCTGTCTCCACCAGAGCCGGTCCGAGCTTCAACCCTGGACCATAAACTTTAAAGGGAACTCCAGAAAGTTGGAATATGGCTTCAGGGTAGGATACCTTATAATTGACCGTAAAGGGTTTAGGATAATCATATTCCAACTTTCTGGCTTTTACTTTAAGCCCTGAATGCCACAAACCTAACCTCTGAAGCCAAACCCTCTGCGCAAAAAGCAACCTAAACCTCGAAGCCCCGAAACGGAAGTCTCTGAAGGCAATCTTGCCGACTCGAAGACCCGCCACACACTGCCAGGGCGCGCAAGTTGAGAACGCACCTCGTGTATCAGGTAGCATTCTGTATTACCGCTTTATGGTGTAGGACTTTGGGTTCAGGATTCAGCGGAAACGGGCTTCGCATCTATTGTTTAGTGCCTCCCAAGCAAACTTCGAGGAAGATCATGGAAACGAAGCATTAGTGCTTCCTGCCCTGCTTTCATGAAGCGGCCTTAACAATAAGAATAGGGTTGTGGGGGCTCCCTATGATGACAAGTTTGGTATAATATCCCCCCAACCCCATTCTAATTATCTCACTGACTTTGTCGAGCTGAGAAGCTGCTCTATGAGGCCAAGTGTGCAATGGGGTGTTCGAATATAGGGGCCTTAAAGAACAGGGTTTGGGGTGTATATTGGACTATAGTCAAATTATGCAACCCCTACAGTATTATTGATAATTTTTTTCGGCCCCTATACTAAACCAGGCGCGGAAATAGCGGCTTAGGGCTTAGGGGTGTGACAAGTCCCACCAACAATGTCGATCAGCCTACCACCCACCATGGGCATCATGACTCACCACCGTCTTCTTTATCTTCATCATTATCATGTCATCACCTAATTCGATCATTGTCTGAATCAGTACCGTCATCGTCATGACAGTCACGACCATTGCCCTCACCAACCTGATGAAGACTGAATCAGCAATGTCATCGCTTGCAACCCTGCTTTGAGAACTGTTTTGTTGATAGGACAACAACTCGACCAATGCAAAGCGAGCCCCGCTACACGACAACACTCAGTGTGTCCCTCTTCCTCTCCCTTCCTCTCTCTCTATCACTATCTTTCCATCTATCCAGCTCTCTATCTCTCTATCTCTCTACCTCTTGAACTCTCCTCTCTCTCTCTCTCTCTCTCTCTCTCTCTCTCTCTCTCTCTCTCTCTCTCTCTCTCCCCCTATCAACCCTAAACCCGGAACCCTAAACCCTCAATCCTAAACCCTAAACCCTAAACTCTCAATCCTAAACCCTAAACCCTAAACTCTCAATCCTAAACCCTAGCCTAAACCTTAAATCCTAAATCCCAAACCCCAACCCCTAAACCCTAAACCCTAAACCCTAAACCCTAACCCCTAAACCCTAAACTCTCTCTTTTTCAAAGTCTCCTTGGGGCTCTCGGCCTGGGTCGCTGCTTCAAAGTGTTGGACCACTCGGACCTCACGCCGCTGAGATGCTGCCTCAAAGCATTTCGGACTTCTTAGGGGGTTTAGGGGTTTAGGGGTTTAGGGGGCTAAGGGGCTTTAGGGGTTTAGGGGTTTAGGGCTTTAGGGTTTAGTGTGAAACTTGATGGAGTTTGTAAATGCAGCGATGTCTTTCCTTACGAGTATTACATCTTTTGACAGCACACTGGTTTCTGTGACCCCGGTAGAGAGCGATGCGTTCTGCAAGGCCGATCCGAAGGCATTCTGGCGCAAAGAGGAAAACACGTTCGAGAACGTGCAGGCCGGTTCGGGAGGGCAGTGCATTAGGCCCCTAGGGTAGCGCCCCTCTCGAGCTTCTTAGTTTCACATTGGTAGCGGAGCTCCGGCTCCTTAGATCCTGCTATGACGGGCCACGCTGACGCCGCCCCGGGTGCTGAGTCACCGGATGCGGCCGAGCAGACTGCGGCTGCCCAGCCGCCAGACGATGTGAACGACGTGTACGATGCGCAGAATGTGGGCGCCGAGCAGTGGACAGGTGTGAACCAGTGGCGAGACTCCATCCGGAGTCATTGGGATGATCATGACCAACAGTCGTGGGGAGACGACTGGCATGGTTGGCGGGAAGCCGACAACACCCCTGTCTGGGATCGGCGTCAGAGTTGGGACGCTACCACCGCGGCGACTGTCGGCTACACGGACAGGTGGAGCCAAGGTGGAGATGACCCTTGGTCAAACGGCCGGGACCCGTGGAGCGGAGCACCTCGCGATCTTTGTCAAGGACGCGGCAACGGATGGGAAGACCACCGAGGAGGTCCCTGGGCAGATGGTAGAGCTAGCCGAGCTCCGGGGAGCGATTCGGGAGATAGAGGGTCTGGTTCATGGAATGGAAGCCACACATATGATGACGGCGGCCTCGCTTGGGCAGGGTGGTCGCACTACGACAATGGAGGTTTCCAGGGCGACTGGACCGATCGCAGGAGCTTTTCGGGCAACGGCCGTGCTTCGGAGAAACTAGCGGTCCCGACCTTCACAGGTGATGACTCCGACGACATCGGCAACTCGGCCAGGAGCTACCTACGCCAGATCGAGGCCTGGCGTCGTATGACTTTGCTCCCGGCTTCGCAGCAAGGACTCGTCTTGTACCAGAGCCTGGGCGGGAAAGCGTGGATTGCGGCTGAGGAGTTGTCAGTGCCTAGACTAGCCTCTGAGGGCGGGGTCGGATACTTTGTGTCGTGGATCAATGCAAGGTTCCTTGACTTGGAGGTTGCACGGATAGGCAAGGCGTTCTCAGACTTTTTCCGACGACTCAAGAGGAAACCCGGGCAAACGATTAGAGAGTACAACTCAGAATACGACCGCCTTCACGCTCGACTCAGGGAAGTGGGATGCAATATTCCACAGGAGTGCGCAGCCTGGCTCTACATCGACCGCCTTCAGTTAGAAGAACCGCAAGAACTGAACCTCCTCGCTAGTGTCGGCAATGAGTACAACCTTCACCGTCTCCAACAAGCTGCAGTGCTACACGATAGGGGCCATCGTAAACCTTGGGAATCTGGAAGGACCCGGAAGCCCTACACCGCGCACCTCACTGAGTCCCCGGACGGCGCTTCCGATGATGGCGATGGTGACGGCAACGAGGACCTTGACCTGGAGGACGGCGTGCCTGAGGATGTGGCGGTAGCGTTCGCGACCTACCAGAGCGCTAAGGACCGCTACAAAGAGCACGTCAAGGCGAGGGGCTACCAAGGCGACAAACCGAGCGCCCCGGCTAAGGAGGCACCGAGGAAGACCGATCAGGCCAAGGAGGACAAGATCAAGATCATGAAAGCGAGGTCGTTTTGTGGGAGCTGTGGAAAGAAGGGGCATTGGCATCGAGATCCCGAATGCCCTAACTTTGGGACGTCGGCACAAGGAGCTTCGCGGGCCGCCGTTAAGGAAGTCGGAGTATGTCATCACGTTCCGGCAGAAGTTTTCTCACTGAGGCACGACGGGCCTGCTCTTCTCGGGATCACGGACACAGCGTGTGCCAAGGCGGTCACTGGGACGATGTGGCTGCAGCAGTACAGCGACGCGCTCAAGGACATCGGTGCTGTGCCTGAGTTGGTGCGCGAGTCCGAGTCGTTCCGTTTCGGGACTGGCAAGGTGCACCACTCTTCCTTCCACGTGGTCCTGCGCTTCTCCCTCGGCAACAGGATTGTGGAGATGAGGACTTCGGTGATCAACGGGGACGTGCCCCTCCTTATGTCGAAGCCTGCGCTGGCTCAGCTTGGCATGGTCTACGATGTGGCTGCCAATCGCGCCGACTTTAACAGCGTCGGGCTTTCGGGAGTGGACTTGGTTACGACTTCGTCCGGGCATCCAGCCATCCCTATAGTGCCGGCAAAGGCCTGCAATGAGCTAGAAAGGCTTGTGATCGGCGAGACCGTTTCCCAGAGCAGCTCGCAATACATGGCTTTCGCTTTGTCAGTGTTGGGTCGTGCGTCTGGTAGCTCGAGAACAACAGGCCCCGAGGACTCCACCACGAAGTCTACTACGCCACCTACACCAACCACTTCCACCACAAAGGCTCCTCCCTACAAGATCTTCTACGATAAGAAACTCAGTCCCGTCGTCAAGGAGTTGCTCACTCAGGATCAGTTGCAAGGGGTGTCTTTTATGAGTTGGTGGGAGAAGACCAAGATCAATTCGGATTTCTGGTTGGAAGGGGATTCCATGTGGCATCGCATTCATGTCGTACCTCGCAGGGCTCTTTGTAATCCTTCTACATGGAAGACCCAGCACACAGTCCAGAAGAACATGTTGTTGAAGTCTGTTGGCGACTTGCGCGTGACAGAAGGTTTCTGCTGTAGATCTGGAAAGCCACTCGAAGTTGCAGTTGATCAGTGGGCGCATGGTGGAGGTGATAGCTCTTTCCCGTTGTTGTGGGTCGGAAGATCTTCTTTCGCGAAAGTGCGAGCTAGTGAAGCCCCCGCTCTCCCTGCAAGCCGGCTTGGAAATGGCATGCAAGCAGCCCGCGATCTCCAAGATGTCCAAGACGCAGTTGCTCGAGGAATGCAACCGGTTGGGGCTGCTTGTGCACCGGAGCTGGACGTGCGAGGAGCTGAAGGCGACGATCATGGAGTTTCGCATGAACGACCCAGCGACCCGGCAGGCCAATGCGATGAAGTCGGTTTCCGGGATGACCCTGCCCGAGCTGCGCACCAAGGCGGACCAGCTCGGGGTGATGTACAACTCGACGACTACAAAAGGGAACCTGATCCGCCTCATCAGGGATGCGACCTCGACGCCGGGGACGGAGCTGATGAAGATAGGCAAGTACCGGGGCTACGAGTTCCAGGAGATCCCCCGGCAATATGGCATGTGGGCGGCGCGAGAAGTCAGGATGAGTGCGAACCCCCACGTGGAACTCGTGCGCTACGCCAAATGGTGGGAGGAGAAGGAGTACCACGAGAACTTCGGCCCTGGCGGGACGTTCGAGGAGACGGCGACGGTGCCCTACCCCTTGGACAATGCGAGCCAGGCGGCCTCTACGGGAAGCACAGAGTGGGACGTGGTCACGGAGAGGCGAGGGCGGATGACTCGCGACCTACCGATCGCACCGCGGCTTTCAAAGCGAGAGGCACCTGCGATCCCCGAGGAGGCGATGGACTCGGAGCTGGACTCGGCGACGGTGGAGGAGATCCAAGCACTCGAGACGAGGCTGGCGGTGCTCAAGCAAAAGGCAAAGGCAGCGGCGACCCCGCCGCCCGCCACAAAGTGAGGTTCGATCTCACATCCTTGGGAGGGAACCCTGCCCCGACCGAGGATGAAGAAGATTGTGGGGACACGACATGCCACCACGAGCACTACGACGTCACCTACTCGCCGGAACGAGGAGGTGACGAACGGCTTCTACGACGTGATGATCCCGATCTCTCCGGGCACGTTCACCCTCTTCCCCGACTACCTCGAGGAGGAGCCTTACAGTATGAGTCCGGAGGCAACCATTTTGGGAATAAGACCACCGGAACAAGGCGGCACGATGGGTGTTGCGATTTCTTCCACGACGAAGTCCTGCACGGCGCTTTTCTCACCAATGAAGACTTCGAGCGACCAAGCACCCTGGACAGCGTCAACTACAAGTGCGAGCCCGCCAAGGACGCCGCCGAGGACCAGTTCACCGTGGCTTATGACCTTAACGACTACAACCCAGCCACCCTTCAGCGACTCCTAGAAGGCCTCCAAATGGACTCGGTCAAGGCTTGCCGAGACACCGTGTTCGGAGGCAAAACCGGCGACCCCGTTCAGTACTTCACCTACGGACTCTTCTCTCATGGGGGTGTGGTCGGACTGACGAAAAGGACCCGCGAGCAGGACAATGTCGTCAGGTATCTCAACGGCTACGCGAAGTACCACCTCGGCGCCGACGCTACATGGACCTCTGTGAGTTTGTCCCGAGATGTCAAAACCGAGGTACATCACGATTACCACAACCTGAAGGGCACGACCAACTTTACTACGAGCTTGGGACAAGAGAGCGGCGGTGGACTATGGATCGAGGAGAAGGGGCTCACCGAGGACACTCTCTCAAAGGAAACCAAGTGGAGGCAAACCGGCACTGGGCAGTGGCTACCTGGACGCGTTCACAACACCCACAACAAGCTCCTCGAGTTCGATCCGTTCCTCAAGCACGGGTCGGAGCCATGGAGCGGGACAAGATGGTCGCTCACCTACCACACCACCCGCAACATCTACAAGGCGAGCGCTGGGATGAAGAAGTTCCTCAAGGGATGTGGTTTTCCCCTACCAAGAGGGCAAGAACCTGGGAGACAGGATCACCGCGAGAAAAGGAAACCACGGGCCAGCGTGAGAAGGGCGATCTTCAACAATGCAGCAAAGATCGGCGTGATGTTGGCGACGCTGGTTTCAGCGGCAGGAAGCTACATGGCGGAGCACGTCTACCCCGCGGTCGAAGCGAACCCCATCGTGATCTTCGAGATCGGCGGAGTGGAGGCGACGCACGAAGCGGCCGCCATCGGCAAGGACGTATTCGAGCCCATGACCTGGGAAAGGTACCGGTCACCAGAAGGAAAGGAGAGCGCGCACCACATCGTCAATGGAGGCGGGCCACGAGAACTCCGCATCAACCTCGAAGGGAAGTACCAAGAGTGCGACGAAGCCCTGTTGGCCTTGATCGACCAGCAAGTCGACGACGGTGGGACTGTGGTCGTGACCGGGCACTGCGAAGACAGTCTGGTTCCATGCCTACGCGGAGAAGACCTACGGGGAGTTCGTCAACACGCTAGCGAGGAAAACGACAAGGTCTTCTTTGTCCTCTTCAAGAAAAAGGAGGAAACAGAAGCAGTACAATGCGGGGACAGGATCCATGAGGTGAGAATGGTCACCAAGGCGAAGGCCGGCGAGGAGAAGAGTGAGATGCCTATGGGGGCAACTGGGATATCGTTCGGCAAGGACACCCCGCGGAATGTTGCCACCGCCCTGCGGAGACTTCACCAGAACCTCGGACATCCTCGGCAGGAGGACTTAATCCGCCACCTCAGGCTTGCCGGGTGCGATCCTACGATCCTGAAGGCCGCAAGATCAATGAAATGTCAAGTATGCCAGGCGAACGCCGCCCCGAAGATTGCCCGACCGAGCACCATTCCACCAATGGCCGACTTCAACGACACCCTCGGCCTCGACCTGTTCTTCTGCCACGACACGGACGACGTGAAGCACGCCTTCCTCTCAGTCGTTGACTACGGCACCACCTACCACCTGGCGATCAAAGTTGACGGGCAATCCGCCGAGGATATCGAAGCGAAGTTCAACGATGTGTGGCTGATTCCTTTCGGCCCGCCGAAGGCCGTTGTCATAGACCTTGAAGGAGGATTGCAAGGAGCTCTGGGCAGGCTTTGTGATTGGCACGGCATCGGAGTTCGGAGCGTAGCGGCCCAGAGCCATTGGCAAGCAGGTGTAGTGGAACGACAGCAAGCGTGGTGGAAACACGTATGGGACAAGGTCAGCTACCAGCTCAGCATCACCGAGGACGAAGTCGAGCTCGTCGTCCCAGTGATCAATGCCGCCAAGAACGACCTCCGGAGACGATGCGGGTACAGTCCCTCACAGTGGGTCTTCGGAAAGGCCCCTCGAGTTCCGGAGGACCTCCAGGACCCGGATGGTGGAGCCCACGTCCTCTGGGATGTCAGCGAGGACGCCAAGTACCAGAGACAGTCGGCGATGAGGGCGGCGGCCAGGGTTGCGTTCCACGAGAGTCAAACTGATGGCCGTCTACGTAAAGCCCTTCTTCAAAGGACACGGGTGGCCTCTCGACCACTCGACGTCGGAGAAAGTGTGCACTACTGGCACAAGCCCAAGAACCGAAGGAGGGGATGTTGGACTGGGCCGGCGGTCATCGTCGGCAAGGAGGGCGGCAACTACTGGCTATCAAAAGGGGGAAGGTGTAGGCTCACTTCCGCTGAACATATTCGCCCAACCACCGCCGAAGAAGTCGGGGCTCTCCTTGCTATGAAAGGTACGCAGCGAGAAGTTGAGCGCCTACTAGATCAAGACCCTGACGCCGACGAGGTCTACGAAGGAGAGGACGACATGGACTACCTCGACGAGATCCTTGAGGGCGAGATGAGCTGGGATGAGGACGACGCTTTGGAGCCCATCGCCCCAGAGCCTGGCGACAACGATGACGACATCATCCTGGAGCCGTTGCAGGAAACCCAAGGCCAACGTCTACCCGAGCCCAGGAGAAGGTTGAAGCGCAAGACCGCGGCCACCGACCTGAACCCAGACCGGCACGAGGCGATGATGCTGAAGACGCAGCTTACTACGAGGGGACTGGAGAAGCGGAAAGAGAAGGAGCTCAAATGGTCGGAGATTCCCGCCGAAGTCCACGACAAGTTCCGAGATGCAGAACGACTACAATGGGAAGAGCACCTCTCCTTTGACGCCCTTGAACCCCTCGGCACAGAGGAAAGCGAACGAGTCCGCCGGGAAGTCCCGGCAGATCGTATTCTACGATGCAGGTGGGCCTACAAGGACAAGAACTGGTCGCGACGACGTGAAGGCGAAGACCTACCGTGGAAGTGCAAGTCGAGACTGGTGATAGCGGGCCACACCGACCCGGACTTGGGCAACGAGGACATGAAGTTGAGTACGGACGCCCCCACTTTGTCTAGGAGCGGGCTTACGTGTATGCTGCAGCGAACGGCAGATGGACTACAGGAAAGCGATCCTTGGACGTTGGCAGCAGGCGACATCCGGTGTGCATTTCTCACCGGAAGCTACCTGGACCGCGAGCTGTACATGCATCAGCCAAAGACCGGGTTTCCCGGCATGGTTCCGGGACAATTGGTGAGGATCAAAAAGAATGTGTTCGGCCTCGCTACGAGCCCCCATACTTGGTGGCAGGACCTACAGGCCGGGATCTTCGACATAGAGCTCGAGTTGCCCTACCTCGACGGCAAGGCCACCTACAAGTTCGACCAGTCCCCGATGGACCCGTGCATCTTTATGCTCCGCCGTTGGGAAAACGGCGACTTCTACGACGAGCCCGTGGCATTCCTGGGATGCCATGTCGACGACCTGCTCATTGCTGCTCCTCGGCGACTACAGGAACTGGTGCAGCAAGCACTGGCGACGAAGTTCGAGATACAGACCTGGGAAGTCGACAAGTTTGAGTTCCTAGGTTCACAGATCTCCGTCGAAAGCGACAAGGTGACGATGACACAGGAGAAGTACGCCGAGACCAGGCTCTTCACCCTCGAGATCCCCGCGGGACTGGACGAAGGTGAACCTGCGCCCCCAGACCTGGTGAGCGATAACCGAAGCCTGATCGGTGCCCTCTCGTGGATGAGCGCTCAGACCCGTCCGGATCTGAACTGCGCCGTCAGCATGGCGCAACAGTTGCAAAAGTCGCCAACTTGTGGCGACCTGAAGTTCACCAACGGCATTGCTGCCAAAGCCTACCAGTTCAGGACTCATGGGTTGGAGTTCCGGGCGATACCCGCCGGAAGGCTCATGGTCATCGTCTACCACGACGCAGCATGGGCCAACGTACCGGAGCCGGACCCCGATGAGAACTACTACGTCCTGACCGAAGCCGAGAACGACATGGGTGTTCAGAAAGAAGGGCCGTATTCGGCCGGAGCGCAGCGGAAGGCAAAGAAAGGGAACTCAAGGGTGGCCTCCCAACTGGGCATCCTGGTGACTTTCGCTGACCGCATGGCGCTGTCCGGACAAGCAGGAGTCTGCAACGTGGCAGACTGGAGGTCACGTGCCGGGCAGAGAGTCTGCCGAAGCACATTCGGGGCAGAGACGCAAGCCTGCGCGGAGGGGCTCGAGACCGGACAGTACCTCAGGTCTATGTATGAGTCCTTGACCAAAGGAAAGTTGGTGACGGTCGAGGCGGCCCAGCTCCCTATCCTCTGCTTGAGCGACTGCCGATCCCTGTACGACCACCTCAATAGGCAGGGAATACCGAGAGTACCAAGCGATAAGCGCTTGGCAGTCGACTTAGCAGCTCTACGCCAAGGACTGAAAGCCGAGAGGTGGGGCGAAAACCTCCCCATAGCCTGGATACCCGGGCTCCTTCAAAGAGGGGACATTTTGACCAAGCCACAGAACCCATCCGATTGGTGGGAAGCGATGGCGACTTTGCTTTTATTGCCCCTTTCGATCGGGCAAGAAGGGGTTCCGATCAATAACAGAAGGATCGGAAACAGAACCAGTGTGAAACTTGATGGAGTTTGTAAATGCAGCGATGTCTTTCCTTACGAGTATTACATCTTTTGACAGCACACTGGTTTCTGTGACCCCGGTAGAGAGCGATGCGTTCTGCAAGGCCGATCCGAAGGCATTCTGGCGCAAAGAGGAAAACACGTTCGAGAACGTGCAGGCCGGTTCGGGAGGGCAGTGCATTAGGCCCCTAGGGTAGCGCCCCTCTCGAGCTTCTTAGTTTCACATTTAGGGCTTTAGGGTTTAGGGCGGTTCTTATCAGTCTTACCGCCAAGATAGGGGCCTTAATGGGTGAATACGGTTATGGGTTATGCGTATGTCAAAATGTCCTCAAAGCAATTCGCACGGTTCTTATCAGTCTTACAGGGTTTTCGTATCTGCTTTTTTTTGGTGGAGGGGGGATGGGGGGGCAGGGGTTAGGTTCTTATGATTCTTATGAGTCTTACAGGTTTTTGGCGTCTGTTTTTTGGGGCGTTGGGGATAGGGTTCAAGGTTTAGGGTTAAGGTTTCGATCACCACTAAGACAAGGGTCCTTATGGGGTTTATCGGTATATCATACTACAAATTTTAGCTATTACTCATCATTCCGATCCATCTGAGAGGGTGTTTCTCGGGTGTTACAGAGCTTTTCGGGTTGTTCTTGCGTTTCTTTCGTTGTCGCTTGTCTGGGGCCCGTCGCGCAAGGATCCTGTTGCGTTGTGTCTTCTCCGAGTCACGAAAGCCCAAACGCTGAACCCTAAACCCTCGTTTTCCGAAACTCACTCCGTTTCCGAAAGCCACACTTAAGGCCCGATCTTGAGGTTAGAGAAAGAATGAATAGAAGGCAGGGTGCACAGAAAGGAGCGAAAGTAAAATGGCATGCGCTACGTCTTCGGCTGCTGCTGCTGCTGCTGTTCGGATGCTACCTGCTCGACGACTACTCTTGGACAACCCATGCTAGAATTCATTTAAGCTTGCCAGGCCGCGCAATCTTCACCCCGTGCTTCGAGGTGCCACAAATCACGTCGATGGTACGACCCTGCACCAAGATCAAACTCATTGCTTGGGAGCCAAAGCGGGGCCTCCCCACCAACATCTATGAATGAAGAAGAGGGGGAGGGGGGGCGTAATGACTCGGAATAGTGTCATTTTTCTCCCTCTTTACCTACTATCATAGTCAGGATTGATCACTTCACACTTAGAAAGCTGAAGTGCAAAGAGCAGGCCGATCCTTCAAGGTTGCCCTGAGTTATAGATCCTAAAACCCTAACCCGAAATCCTAAACCTGCAATTCCTAAACCTGTAAATTCGAACCCTAAACCCTAAATCCTAAACCCGAAAGCCTAAAACCTAACACTAAGCCCTAGCAGTCCTAACATAATTATAATCTTAAACCCCAAACTCTACTGCAATGCAGTCCCTGACCTCGGAACTACCTAAAGCCCCACAAGCCCGAGGCTCTCTGACCAAAACGAGAGAGCCCCCGCAAACCAGTGCCCCTCACGGTTTAGGATGTTTAGGGTTGAGGAAGTTTAGGAAGTTTGGGTTTAGGGTTTAGGGTTTAGGGTTTAGGGGTTAAGGCTTAGAGTACGGTTTCCACTATTTCGAACGAATAGTCGTTGGAATTACCGCGCCGCACTCGGGAAATTGTCTAATATATAGGGGCCTTAGCGGCCTGAATTATCAGAATCGGGTTTGGGAGTATATTATACTACAGCATAACAAGGAACGCCACCCCCCCCCCCCCAAAAAAAAAAAAAAAAAAAAATCCTAGGCAAGTCTTAAGGCTCCTATAGTAGACATCTCTCTACCTTCCTTCTCGTGGCAACAACTTCTGCTCAGAAGCTCCGAAACCATACTAAATCCTACAAAAAGAAACGAAATAACCGGGTAGAGCTTAATAAAGCCATAACTAACCCTAAACCCTAAATCCCCCCAAGAAGGCCTGAATATCCGGTATAAAGCCATAACTAAGCCTGAATTTCTTAAAACCTTAAACCCGCCTCTTGCTGCTCGATCGTAGTCAAGAGCTGCGCCATGTCCTTGATTTAGAGTTTGGACTGTTGGTGTTTAGGGTTTAAGGTTTAGGGTTTAGGGTTTAAGGCTTTCGGCTCTTCATCTTCGGCTTCGGGGTTTGGGGGTAGTATGCTACAGCTTTGGTATTACTCTCAGGTCTATGGTTAGCCATTCCTCTCCTCCTGTGCTTCACCGGCAGCACAACCAAACCCTGGCCGGCCTCCGGCTTCTGTGATGCGGGAGCGCGCACCGACGCCTCCTAAACCTCTAGCCCCAAAACCCCAACCCTAATGCCGAAACCAAAAGGCCCAAAGCCAGCGGACAAAGCCCCAAAAGTCCTCAAAAGCCCGAAAAAAACTAAAAGCCCTAAACCAACGCAACGAAGTCCGACGAAGTTCGTCCCAAAAGCCTCAGGAACCCCAAGCCAACCCAAACATGAAAAAAAACAAAAACCATCCCAAAGTCCTCCCAAAAGCCACAGTCCGTCCCAACAGCCTCAAATCAAAACCTCAAAAGCACCTGAAGGCGCTAAACCTCCAAGGTGCGGTCCTTGGCTGGGAGGCACCTGCCATGCTCGTCCGTCTCCGGGACAAGGAGGATCAGCCGCCTGACTGTCAAAGAATAGCAATACTGGCGGTGGTGGTGGTGGTGGTGGTGGTGGTGGTCGTGGCAGCGCGGTCGTGGCGGCGGCGGTGGCGGTTGGTGCTAGTTCCGGAGTCTGGAAAAATTCAGCTCCATTCAAACATTCTGCTGAAGTACCATCCGATTTCCTTCTCCTTGGGAATTCACATCTCGCTTCTGAAGAACACATTGTCGTAGATTAAGGAACACGGCTTCAACTAAAATTTGAGGTATCTGTGTTGCATCGCGGGTAGAGTTGAAAAGGCCGCATGCATTCAGCAACACGACAAGGGGACTCTTGAAGGAGGAGTTCCGTGTGAAGCCTTTGTACAACCTCTTTACAACCGCTAATCCTTACATCTAAATCACCTCCCGTGGCTCTCTGACAGTCTGATAGGCTTCAGGCCTCGTCAGGTGCATGGCATGTAGCAGAGAGATCATCGGTGCTGCCACCTTTGCAGGAAACCCAGCAAATGCTTGGAACTTCGTGTGTTCGGGCATGGCGAAAGCTCGTGCAGAGGTCCACGTCCCCCATAATTACAAGCCCTCAGCCCCATAAACCCTAAACTTGCATCGCTGAGCGTGCCGGCGCCCTCCTTTAGCCTGCTGCATCCGACAGCCACTCGAGGCATGCATGGCTTTTCTTTACGGGGCTCCGGTAACAGCATCCTACAACCCTGCCACCCTATAATACCCTGAATATACCATGTGTTATGAAACTATGCACGACTGAAACAAGCAATATCATATGATTCCTTCCGTTCGTCGCTATAAAAACGATGTAATACAATATATCCCCAAGCCCCTGCCCAAATTACGAGGACCTGTGCGTGAGCCTCTTTACCCTAAAAGCCTGAACTCTATACTCCAAACCCTGAACCAGTTCTGACCAGCCGCCAGAGAGCTCCCCGTCCGGCAACAAGTGATCTTCTGGCCTCCATCGAAAATCTGCACAGAACCTGAGGACTTCATGCGGTCGTAGGGCTACCAAAGGGTTTAGGGTTTAGGGTTGAGGGTTGGGGTTTGAAAGTAACGATTACTAGGTGTCTGAGTAGCCCCTTTATAATCAGGGTGCCCTTTTTCCTACTATTCGCCACCCCAACCTGTCAAACTCTATAAAGCTCTACGAACCCCTGTATGACCTTATAAGACCTCGTCACACCCTGCAAAACCGCGTAAAACCCAAAACAGAGCCTACAACACACTAAAAAGCCCAACCCTAAACCCTAAACCCAATACCAAACTCTACAAACCTCTCTTTTCCCAAGGGCCTATCGGCATGGCCACGTCGGAGTTTTTGCCGCTGAAGAGGTCGAGCTCGCTCTCCTCGCACCGCTTGAACTCTGGGGTTCCGGCTTTAGGTTTTAGGGTTCAGGGCGTTTAGGGTTGAGGGTGTAGGGTTTGGGCTTTGGGGTTTAGGGTTCAGGGTGTAGGGGTTTGGGATTAAAAGTTAGGGGTTAGGCTTGGGGGTTTAGGGGTTCAGGGGTTTAAGGGTTTAGGGTTCAAGCTTCAGTCTTTAGGGGGTTAAAGCTTTGGGGTTTAGGGTTTAGGGTCTAGGGCCGTAATTTTTTTTGAGGTGTAGCCTTCAAGTGTAGTGTTGTTGTTGTTGTTGTTGTTGTTGTTGTTGTTGTTGTTGTTGTTGTTGTTGTTGTTGTTGTTGTTGTTGTTGTTGTTGTTGCTTGTTGGCTGCTTCTGGGGTGTGCTCAAGGAAACAGCGCAGGGTTTCAGTCGAAGTGGTCAAGTCAAGTTCACAAACGGCTCAAGCTAGGTATCTGTAGATCCTTAGTAGAGGGGTCTCTTTAGTTCGAAACTCTTCTTTAATTAGTACTGAGGTACCTAAAGGAATGGTATCGGTAGTTTATCCAGCCCCTGCACTAAGTTGAAGCTGTCCGTTCGGCCATAGACACCAAAAGCCCCGGCGCCTGCCCCAAGCACTGAAGCAGCCGTCACTGACCATCGAATTAATCTTGTTGCCGCCTCCTCCACATACTCTAGGCTCTAAACCCGCAAAGCGAATCAAATGCGGTTGAACCCCTACACCCCAAACCCTAAACTAAACCCGATAATTAGACCCTAAACCCTAAACCCTGAACCCTGATTAAACCCTGGAAACAAAAAAACTCCGAGCCACCTGGAGCGGCTCATACTGCGCCTCATAAGCGTCCACGCGGTTCTTGAAGTCTGTAAGGGCCGCCCCGGAATCTTCCTGGGTCTTGTTTCCGGTTCAAGGTTTTTTGGGTTTAGAAGCTTAAGGCCTTGGGGTTTAGTAACCCCAGACCCTAAATCGTGATTCCACGATTCAGGGCATAGGATTAATGAGCGTTGGGCTCTCGGGACCCGGGTATGGTATTAAGTTTAAGGTCGGAAGATCTCGAGCTATTCGGATCGCAAGTCAGCTTCGGGACGGAGGACCTGATTCGTGATGCTAACTATGATCCGACATCCACCGAGATGTATAGGGGTTTGGGGTTTAGAGTTGAGTCTATACTCATCCGTTACCCTTTTAGAGGGGTCGAGGGCTTGGGCTTGGGTTGACGCACAATGCTGACAACATGACGAAAACCGCAAGTAACAGCAACCACTACTGCAAAACTCCTCGTGCGATTCTGGGTGCCGCTATCGGCCGGTATTGGCTGAATGACGGGTTTTACTCGTGCCTTGTCCTGGGACAGCACATGTAAGGCTTCATGTACTTGGTTCTTGATCATCTGACTGAGCTCAACCAGGAAGTGCAAAGGGGTACTTTTTTTATTCCTGCGTTCAGGGATAGATATCCGTGGATCGGCAAAAAGCAATCCGTGAAACACCCTTGCAAAACCCGACTCGTCCGAAAATGCAGTCCACAAATCACCCCAGAATTCCAGATGGATAGCCCGACTGGTCCGAAAAAATATTCCTGCACGGGTTGGTACGGGTTGAGTATGGGTAAAAGGTGAAGAATGAGTACGCCTTCTATTCACCATCATGTTAAGTTTGGTACGCTTTCTGTACGTGTGCGCTTTCCGTACGGGTTCGGGTACGGTTTGGTTTCACCATCTGGGGTTTGAGTACGGATTCGGTCTTGGCAAAAAAATATTCCCGCCCCGCACACAAAAGTAGCCCGCACCACCGAATCCAACCTAGCCTCAAAAAAGTAGCCCCCCCTCCAAAAAAAGTATTCTGAACCAGTGCTGTTAGAACTAAAACGGCTACGGTACTTGTCCTTACGGCTGCTACAAGTAATATCAAACAGAACAAGGCAAACCAGCTTCTGTACCCTTGTAGTCATCGTTGGAGAGCTTCATCTGGTAGTTGTCCTCCCGGCAAGACAGCACTCATCAAATCTCTCAGAGCAAATGCCGCACCCAGAGGATGACATCCCAAAGCCGTAACATAGAGGCCATCATGACTGGAATATGGCTTCGCGCATAAAATGTCGCTATACTATACTATTAGAGAAGCTAGAATCGTAGTGGACACTGCCATGTGCAGGCGCCTATGTTAAACTCTAGGCCTACAACAGCCAGAACATCGTAAGCGCGAGTCTCAGCGACCGAAGACAACCGTGACAAGTAATATAGATGCTTGAATGAATAGTTACCAGTCCTGTTCCGCACGGCTCGTTGCCAAAAGCACAGTATCATGTGCCCCAAAACCCTTTTGCCTGGAACCCTGATAGCAAAACCCGCTTTAAAGAACTCTCATGGGAACCTTAGTCTAAATATGGAGCCCACCACGGAAAGGCCTGAAACCTTGACCACAACCTCGAACCTGACAAATTAAACCTCGTAGTCCCATGTGCGTTAGACATCAAACAACCACAACCTACTTTGCATTGCAGGCTCTTATTGTAGATCCTGGTTTGGCATTAATAGATACCCTACGAAAAGTAGGTAGGTTTTTGTATGTTGAAGTAGCTGTAAAGTATAAAATGGTGTAAAATCATTGGCTTCGGGGTTTAGGAGATAAAGGCCGAAAGATTATGACAGTGCGTTTTTTGGAAACAAACATAGAGCTTCGCGCGTAGGTAAGCGAGCACCGCGCCTGAATACTGGAGTACCTAGAACTCATATTCCCACCCAAACCGCTAACCTAACTGCTTATACCCGAAACCGATAGCTAGCTACCGAATTGAGTATGTTGGACCTTTGCGGAAACTGCAAACTATTGGGGCTTCCCCTCTTGATCCACACAAGATAACCTGCTGCGGCCATAAACGCGGGCCGCTAGACCCTCACACCCCACACTTCCAAATCCTAAAACCCGAAACAACTGCTAAACCCTAAACCCTCCTAAACCCTCCTAAACCCTCCTAAACCCTCAGCTTTACCCTAAACCCCCCCAACAGGCTAAACTCCGAAAACTCGGAAAGATCCCTCAAGCGCGAAAGAGCAAGGAGACAAGGGCCTTCCAGCTATCCAGACCAATGTCTCTTAACTGCTTGGAGGATCGTGGGACATAGTAACTGAGGTTATAACTACCTTGAGTGGGGTTATAAGTAGTTATAAGTATAGTTACCCTAATTATAACCCTAGTTACCAAGTCCCATGATCCTTTAAGTAAGGGTTTAGGGCAATATCCCTTAATTCAGGAGTGTACCCTGAATCATATTGGGACCCTACTAAAATTTAAGGCCAATGAATTAAGGTGTCGCTGGTTTCGGGCTCAGGGCTTGGAGGGGTTTCGGGTTTAAGCATTTAAGGGTCCAAGGGTATAAGATTCGGGGGTGTAGGTGTTCAGGGCTTATAGCTTAAGAGTTTAACGGCTTGGGGCTTTCCGTGCTGTCAACAGAGTCTTGACTTAGACACACACACACACACACACACACCACGCACGCATGCACGCACGCACGCACGCACACACGCACACACACACACACACACACACACACACACACACCCACACACACACACACAACTCCGAGCATGCATCAGCCTGGCAATACATATATGCCTTGAGTCCAGGTGACACATACTGTAGCATTTAACACAGGACTAGGAAGTTTAATCAAACCACCCGACATAAGGGTAACACCGCGAAACTCCGAGAACACCTTTTATTGCCTGAGTCTGAGGAGGGCGCCTTGAGAATGCGCTCGTCGGTGCAGATGGACTCAAGGAAGATCCTTATGTTATGAATCTAGTTTAGGGGTTGCATAGGCGAGGCTTCACAACAGAGGTCGGAATGAACAGGCCTTCAGGTGGGTTGGTGGCGTGGGTTTCAGGATGTTGGAGCTTTGCAGTTCCAGCGTTCGGGATTGGCGGCTGCCCCAAAACACCAAAAACTAGAAAGACTGCTCTCTACTGTGGCCTTCATGTGCACCCCAAGCTACCGTCACCACCACCACGTGCTGTAAAACCCGAGCCCTCTAAACCCTAAAGCCACAACCTAAGCCTGCAGCCTATCCTCTAACCTAACTGTTACCTATGCTGCTGTTTCACATTCATGCTTGCAGCCTCCCCCAAGAGAATCCTTGGTCCCTTGTTGGGCACCCTAAATACTAGGTGCCGTATAAGGACCCAAAAAGGGACCCTAATTTTGACAACCACCCATATGTAAGCTATAGCACAATCAATCAGCGAATTCGGGATGATTTTGGCGAAGGATCACACGCAGGGGCGCGGCATCCGTGTTGTCCTCGTTCGCCTCCGAGCCGAGGACACTTGATTCTTTCCTTGATTAACCCTAAACCCTAAACCCTTAAACCCTAAACCCTCAACCCTAAAACCCTAAAACCCTAAACCCTAAACCTCACATACCGGTCTCGGGGTTACAGGTTCGTAATCCGTTAACCCCAGACCCTGACTGCTTCAAGACCATTCAAATCTGAGCTGAATCCACCAAAACTTAAACGCGAAATGAATCTAAACCCCACCCACCGCTAATTTAGTATGAGGGTTCTTAACAATCAGAACAGGATTTCTTGAGATATAAAACTATAAACACTCCATAAGACTATAACTACGCCTGCCCAGATGTTTGAGTCGTGTAAACAAGCTGACAGCTATATAGCTCTGACTTGAAAATCGACTTCACCATATTGCCGGCATGCCGTCATGACCCTTCAACCGTAAACCCTAAACCCCAAACCCGTCAAGAGCAATAGCTTCCGCTCTGACACCCTAAACCCTAAACCCTTAACCCTACCAGCACTCCCCTTTCATAGCTCCTTAGTAGCGGGTACTTAGGATGAAAGGGCGGTCTACTTAAAGGATCATGGGACTTAGTAACTAGAATTTTAATTAGGTTATCTATACTTATAACTACCTCTAACCCCCATTACGGTACTTATATCCTTACTTACTAAGTCCCATGATCCTCCAAGTAGGTAAACACGAAAGCTTCAGCTGCAAACTCCCTCAACAGATGTTCGCCTTCGGGTTTCGCAGCCTGGGGCTTCAGAAGCCTAAACCCTGCCCCCCAACCACCCTCTAATATGCCTTAAATACCCACCCAGAGCCTCCAAAACCCCTTAGGAATACACCGTAAAATCATATTAGGGATCCTACTATAATTTAAGGTATATTCCTTAATTAAGGGGTTTTGGAGGCTCTGGGCACTATTAAGGACCATAAGGGCTCCATTAAAGGGGCATTGGGGGTCCTGGTAGACCCTAAACCCTAAACCTTCGTGTCAAGGTCGGAAGATCCCCGCCTGGGGCTGCGAACTCTTACGATAGCATGAAACCTGAATCCCCAAAAGACTGCAGAAGGTTTAGGGTTTAGGGCTCAAAAGCTACATCTTATGCACGGAAACCAACAGGAGGAGTCCCTCAAAAGGTAGGCTTGTCGGGGTTAAGTTGTCCCCTAAACACTAATTCGCTGGGAAGGCCTGGCAAGCCGCAGCATAGCAGGTCTCCAGCACCTGCTGAAATCCTACATAACTTTAGAAGCTTCGGATTGCTTCGGGTTCAAGATGGGGTTAAGGGCTTAGAGTGCTGAAACTGTATATACATACAGAGTCTTCAGATTGGGGTTTCGGATAGGGGTCCGGGGATAGGGTCTTGGGTCTCGGCTTTTGGGTTGGTGAAAGGGTTTAGGGTTTAGGGCTCAGGGTTTAGGCTTTAGGGTTTAGGGTTCAGGCTTTAGGGTTTAGGGTTTAGGGTTCAGGCTTTAGGGGAGCATCGGTCCACAATAGCTTTCACTCTTACGGTATGCGAGGTCCCGTGGCAGGGAATCATCTCTGGAACAGGCCTTAGCTTAGGTTTGGTGACATTCGGTTCAAGGGAGTGGGATGTTGCAGGGTTTAGGAGCATTTGCGGCAAGGGGCTTAGGGTTCAGTGGTTCAGGCTCGAGGTGTAAGTTGTAAGTTGAAAGTTTAGGAAACAAACCAGTGTACTTTACAGATCGTGGGCAGACATCAAGATTATGGAGTTATGGCTACCACTGTCGGTATAGCATCTTGCTGATTCAGTAGATCCACGAAGCTTTCAATTAGGGATGTGTTTCGGCACACTGCTGAGGGTTTGGGGTTCAGGGCGTGCGTCTAGGGTTTGGTTCATCTCATTGGATCAAAGCTGCCTCAGCTAAACCCTAGAACCCAAACCCCTTGGCTTATCAGCAGGAGCTCAGAAGTACGGCCGCAAGGCAATGCGGCCAATACCCTAGACACCGAAACCCGAACAACAGCCAAGGTTTTGCCGGCATGTTGGTCGTCCTTGCGGCGTTCCGGTATCTTAAGGCATCACTCTATCGTGGGCAGAGATGCACAAACCCTAAACCGCACAACATGCACATCTTACTAACTAGGATAAGGTTTTAGATGATAGTAATTACGAATCAGAGGGACCTTAAACAAAAGTCGCCTCGAAGGACAAGCCAAGGAACTCGCTGGCGTCGTGCCACTGTGGTGTTCGTGGCGTCCAAGATGCCAATCGAGGACGTCCCAGCCGGCGCCGCGCGGATCCACCTACGATGTGCTCAGAAGGGCTGTCTAAACTCCAAACGCTAAACGCTAAACGCTAAACCAAAAACCGTAAACCCCAAACCAATAAGCCCAACCCAAAAACCCAAACCTGAAACCCCAAAACACCACACCCTAAGCCATGAACCGTAAGCTTTCCGAGACCCAACCCCCAATCCCTAAACACCTCAACCCATAGTTTCTGGGTTTGGAACCCCCTAGCTGCCGAGTGCGGATTTGGGGGTTTGGCGTTTTCACGGTTTGGAACAAAGGGAACCTGAACACACACACACACACACACACACACACACAATCACAGACACACACACACACACACACACAACAGCCTCATTGAACCCTTACATAGCAATTATAGAACTCTGGCAGAAACCGCATATCCTTGTAGAACCCTTCGAAACGCCAAAACGTGACCCTGACAGGTGACTGAAGCAGCTGCTCACAGCAGAGCATAGCCAGCCGCTCTCGCTCCTCGAGATTCGACAAGTTTCGTTAGGGCTTTCAGGGCTCATTGTTGAGGGTTGAGGGTTTGGGGGTTTAGGGGTTTAGGGGTTTACCGGGTTTAGGGGTTTATGGGTTTAGGGGTTTAGGGTTATAAGGTTTAGAGTTGAGGGTTTAGGGTCCCCCCCCCACAAGCCCGAACAGAAGCTCGTCATGCCCGACAAATACAGAATCCTCATTAAGCCCGACATTTCTGGACGATCCGACAGACAACCCCAAAATCCCCCTAAACCCTAAACCCCAAAATCCAATGCGAAGGGTTCGCATGACCGATGAGGTAAGTTGCAAGGATGTAAGACCTAAAGCTTCAACCGGAGGAGTTCATATATGAGCTGTACCCAGACGTCGTGGTACTCGTCTAGGCTTTCTCTAAAGTCTACCAACCCCTAATCCTCCCCTAAACCATAAACCCAACTAAACCCCAAAACCCCAAAACCCTAGACCCTAAACCCAAAGACCCTAAACATCCTAAAGCCTCCAAAAGCTGCAGGGCTCCTGCTTTGCTTCTGCGTTGGAGGCGGAGAAGAAGCTGGCCTGGACATCGACCCATCTCCAGGCTTAAGTTTTAGGGTTTATGTAGATGGTTTAGGGTTTATTGCTTAGGCTTTGGGGCTTAGGGTATAGGGTAAAGGCGGATTTTGGTGTGGAGGCGGCCCTGATCTGTGGGCCGCGCAGCCGCACGGCCGCTCCGGGCCCGCCGCGGGCCGCACGACCGCAGGCTGGGGGGCGGGCCGCGGACCGGCGACGCTGCTGCCTCGGTGGAGCTGCTTCCTCAGCAGGTTCCAATCCGAGTTGTGGGAATCGCAACCTCAGCTGGTTCATGACTGCCAACTGCCACGGCCAACCTTTGAATGCTGAAGAACTTCTGAGCTCCTCGAGGGTGTGTATATTCAAAGCGCACGGACCCTGACAGCACCCAGGCATACGTGAACCTCACTTTGGAAAGAACATCTGTTTGTCGGCATTGTTCTGGAGCATGTCGTGCTCAAGTAGAACACAATCTTCCAGGTTGACATACCCACGAAAGTGAGATCCTTCGGCTAACAGCACAAGACCCCGGATGTGGCACACATCCTTGCGAAGCTCCCACGTCTTCTTGCCGTCCAGGATTTTGTCTATCCAAGGCCTCCGGATGACTATGCCTCGCGGCGAAGCGGAAGCCATGGCAGCTAGAAGTATGCGCACGGCTAGGAAGCTATGCACACAGCAGCGGAATGCAGTGGAATATGTTCATCAAGCTGAAACCGGAACTCTGATGAATCGTCACACAGACATGACCACAGATGATTGCTGATGCGAGATCCATGTCGTTGAGTTCCAATCCAGCGACGTGGTGCCCGGTTCCCGGTGGCTTCTGGCCTTTGAAGCGGTGGGAGCAAGGAGGAACCGGGTTGTAGTATTAGGGCTGTCTTTTGCGCATCTGGGCATATCTTACGAGCAGCGACCTGGTGGCAAGCGTGTCTCTTGCAGGCTATAGTTCAAGCCCCAGAAGGGCAAAGCAGCTCGTGTCCGGGTACAAGAAGAAGAACAACAAGAGCAGGCAGGCGGGCTGGCGCTAGAGTTTGTGTATGCGCATTGAAGCGCAAGGTGCGACTCAAACGAGGGTGTGCATGCTGCATGCCGCTGAGTTGCAGGCCAGACTGCTACACGGCTTCAGCAAGGAGGAAGCTATAGAACGAACCCGCCGAGCTTGAAGCCGAACTAATCCGCATTCACACAATCTCGAAAATGAGGATCTCTCGCTGGCAGGCTGGAATATGGTATACTCCGCTGAAACAGGGCGGCAGTTCAAATTTCCCTGTGGCAACGACTCCTCTGACAGTAGCAGGATGCCTCACCAACACGGAAAATCGAACTGGGTTGGCGGATCTAGCTGAGTGCATGCGCAGTCTTCACACACGGACTCCGTGCTTGAGGCACGAGTAGGCGACCACTGAGAGATTGAAGCAAGCCCGCCCGTTGCGTCCACATCCTCCCGGCTTTGGCATGGATCTGAGCTTGCCGCGCCGGATCCAGAAGGCTGTCTTGCAACTTCGTGTGTCTGCTCCCTCGGCTCCTGGATCGCGATGGTGCCTGTGGAGTTAATGAAAAGATTTCATGAGATGTAGTCGGTCTGGACGGTGCCCGAGTCAGGCAAGACTCTGTGTGCGGAAAACGAAGCGCAGGCGCTGGCAAAAGCTGCCACTGAACAGGTGAGCCATTCCGCGGAACGGCAAAGACCCAGCACGTCTTCCAGCAGCAGCTCCTCCAGCCCGCACCCGATGTCCTCAGCAGCAAAACCACGAGCACGGCTCGAAACGAGCCACGTCCGAGCTGCACGGGGGCGCTGAGCCTCACCGGTAGCGTCCGCAAGCTGTCGGAGCAGGTCCATGCTGTGCACGGTGGAGGCTGCGGATTGAAGTTAGCTTGCGAGCCTGGAGGAGATGTCAATGGATGCCACGAAAAGGTAGAGCAAACAGGCAGAATGCGGCGTGAAGTTGCAATCCCCCGTTATAGCATGTGGAATATGTGAAAGTATAGTTGTTGTTCATGCAGCTGCTATTACTATTGCTATTGCTATTGCTATTGCTATTGCTATTGCCATTGCCATTGCCATTGCCATTGCCATTGCCATTGCCATTGCCATTGCCATTGCCATTGCCATTGCCATTGCCATTGCCATTGCCATTGCCATTGCCATTGCCATTGCCATTGCCATTGCCATTGCGCTTGCTCTTGCTCTTGCTCTTGCTCTTGCTCTTGCTCTTGCTCTTGCTCTTGCTCTTGCTCTTGCTCTTGCTATTGCTATTGCTATTCCGATTGCGATTGCGATTGCTATTGCTATTGCTATTGCCATTGCCATTGCTATTGCTATTGCCATTGCCATTGCCATTGCCATTGCCATTGCCATTGCCATTGCCATTGCCATTGCCATTGCCATTGCCATTGCCATTGCCATTGCCATTGCCATTGCCATTGCCATTGCCATTGCCATTGCCATTGCCATTGCTATTGCTATTGCTATTGCTATTGCTATTGCCATTGCTATTGCTATTGCTATTGCTATTTCTATTGCTGTTGCTGTTGCTGTTGCTGTTGCTGCTGCTGCTGTTGCTGTTGCTGTTGCTGTTGCTGTTGCTGTTGCTGTTGCTGTTGCTGTTGCTGTTGCTGTTGCTGTTGCTGTTGCTCTTGTCGTTGCTGTTGTCGTTGTCATTGTCGTTGTCGTTGTCGTTGTTGCTGTAGTTGTTGTGGTTGTGGTGGTTGTTGTTGTTGTTGTTGTGGTTGTTGTTCTTCTTCTTGCTGCTAGTGCGGGCCACCGGCCGCGGGCCGGCCTGCAGGGAGGCGGTGGGCCGCACACAAATCAGCCTCTTTTGTGAGGGTATAGGGTTTAGGGTTTAGGGTATAGGTTTAGGGTTTCATACAAGGGCCATAATATTTGTCAACAGGAGTTTGAGGTATTTCATGCCATATTCATGGTAATTTCCAAGGCCCTCTATTAGGCTTCTTGGCCGGGGCATTAGGGCCCAGAGTTTCTAGGCTTAGGCTCAGGGTTTAGGGCTTTTTGGTATTGGTTTAGGGGGTTAGGGTTTCGACTGCCGACGAGCAAGAAAACCCTGTTGCTGTAGGGGTCTCTTGCTGGATCAGGTCAAGGTATGCCCTGGATTCTCCTGCCCCTGCCCTGCTTGCAACAGTACGGACAAGTCTCTAAACCCTCCCCCCTCACCGCCAGTAAAGAAACCCCCTAAAGCCTAAACCCTAAACCCGAAAAAATGCCGGCCTCGATTCCAGCCTTTCCACTCTCACGACGGAGCTCCCCAGCGTTGAAGCTCCGCACCCGGACACCTAACCTGGGGTGGAGGGTTTAAGGCTTGGGGTTCAGGGTTTAGGGTAGTTTAGGATTGAGGGCTTGGGGTTTAGGGTTTATGGTTTCGAATTTGGGGGTGAGGGCTTATGCCTGTAAGGGCTGCTGCAAGGGATCTTACAGGGGTTGAGGTACATGTATGTTCCTAGCTGGGGGGTGCGTAGGGTTCAGGGCAAATGTTTCAGGGGTTCGAAGACTTCTTTGGGGGGGAGGTTAGGGTTTAGGTTCGGAATGTTCTTCTTGGGATTCGGGGTGGGCCAAGGTTTCGTCTGGTGACTTGCAATTAAATTTAATGATGCGCTACTCTTCTTACATTAGGGGCCTGTGGATTTTCGAGCGGAGGCCGATTTCTCGTTTTCTGACATCTGGATCCCGTTGGAGGGGACCCCAGCAAAGAAAGGCAAGAGGCTCCTGCTAGGGAACCCAGGCGCAATTACTACGGAACCCGAAGGGATGCTACTACTGACTTAGGGTTTAGGGTTTAGGGTTTTCTACACTGCCGGATGGTTCAATCTTGAGGCCAACGGGTTCCGTGCTCGTTTCAGCTTGCTATCTGGTAGGGCTTGGGGCGCAGTGTTGGGTGAAGCTGTAAAAGGTTTGAAACTCCAGGTAACTGAAATTCTATCGCTTGCCACCAAACTGCATGTTCTTGCCTACTAAACTGCTAAACCCTGAACCAGTAACCCTAGAATAGGTGCAAACCCAGCCGGGGAACAATTTCAGATGTCTCACCACCGCTCCGGAAAGGAAAGATTTCCCGCGTGCTGGAAGGCCGACAAGCACCAGCACGACGGCCTCCCTGGAAACGACCTGTTTGGAGGCTCTTCGGGTTTAAGGCTTCGGGTTGAAAGCTGGACAACTAATTGTAGCCCAAATCTTGACTGCTGTACACCTTGTTATCCATCCAGCCCCAAATCCATGCCTAAACCCTACAACCTTCCCACTCTAAACCGTAAGCCTGAACATCTCAGCATTGGTCCTGGTCCCAAGCACTGAAGGAGCTGTTTACTCTTTAGGCCTTTAGGCTTACATAACCTTCTCCCTCTCTCTCTCTCTCCTTCTCTCTCTCTCTCTCTCTCTCTCTCTCTCTCTCTCTCTCCCTCCCGCTCTTTCGAAAACTGAAAGCCTCGACCGTAAGCCTAGGTTCTTCTTTTCCCTAGCTTTCTGCAATCTATCCTCAGAATCAACCTCCCAACCCTAACCGTAAAACCAAACACAAGCTTAGGGGGTTACGGTTTTGAGGTTTAGGGTCGTAGAACACCATATCATCCGCGCGTCAAACCCAAAACCCCAAGACCCCGTGCCACTCGCACAGCCCGCAGCACACCTCTCAAAAAAAAAAACCTAATCCATCAAAACAACACAAAGGAAGGCCTCAAGAAAGCACAACACCAAAAAAGAAAAGGTCCTGAACACGCAAAATGACCTCTCATAAGCAGACGCAGACAAAGAAAGGGAGACCTCCAGAAATGTGACCCCAAGCCATACCCTGAACTCATGGAACCCCTGAATCCCTAAACAGTAAAACCCCAAACTGCCTGCGGGTCGGCCGTGCGTTCCATCCATTTGCTCATGGACTCTAGAGGCCTTGGTGTCGGGATGCTACGGTTGAGGAAGGATTTTGGCGTTTAGTGGCCAAGGGGTTTAGCATCCAGAGTTTCTGGTTTCAGGCCTTGTGTTCAGCGGCTTGGGAGTTTAGGCCTTAAGGCACAAATGCTCTTCTTGGTGTATTGCTAGTTAGTGTGGCTGTTCGCACTTGATTATTTCTGACTCTAATCGGGTTTGGTGTCGAGAGTAGTGGTCGGTGTCTGGGTCTAGGGTTTACTTATGGTGAGCCCCAAGCTTATTAACTCTGGACATGACAGAAACCCCCAAACCCTGATCCCTTAAGCAACCCATCTCAGAAACCCTAAGCCCTAAGCCCTACACCCCAAAAAACCCTAAGCCCTCATTGTTGAACCTCTCTCGGAACCCTTCACTGCCCTAAACTGCTACCCTTTTTCATCCCCCAATCCCTCAATCCTTGTAGAGTCCTTATAGTATCCTTATGGTACCATTTAAAGGAACCCTTATAGAGCCCTAAACCCCAATCTCTAAGGCCCCATTCGGAGACTCGAACCCCGCAGAGGACCGCGAGAACCAGATGGAGTGGGTGAGGCGGGGGACTTGGCGGCTTCGGAAGGTCTAAGGTTTAGGGCTCCTTTAAGGGGTGTTATAAGGGTTCCTTTAGAGTGACCTGTCAGGGCTCTACGATGGTACTATAAGGGTACTATAGTACTGTAGGGGTTTAGGGTTTAAGGGTCAGGGTTTTAGGCTTTAGAGTGACCCTAAACGCTAAACCCTGAACCCCATCTGGGATCCTTTACCGCTCGTAGCACAGGGCCTGGAGCTCCGGGGGTCAAAAGACTGAGCTTTGAGACAGCTCTGGCATGCATTAAAATCCAAAACTCTACACCCTCAACAAAAAACCCTGAACCCCAAACCCTAAACCCCTAAACCCTTATAGAGCCCTTATAGATCCCTGTAACTGAACCCTGAACCCTAAACCCTTAACCCTGAACTCTAAATCGTGCAACTACGAGACTCCCCCAAACCATGCAACCTGAAGCCTTGGGTGTGTTAGGGGCAGCCAGCAGGGGTTTAGGATTTAGGGCTTCGCGGCTTAGGGTTTAGAGTTTAGGGGTTTACTGGTTTAGGGTTTGGCGTTTAGGGCTTTGAGGGTCTAGGGTTTTGGTGTTTAGGGATTACGGGTTTAGAGTTCAGGGGCTTAGGGGTTTGGGGTTGACGACCTGGCACACCGAGCTGCTCGTCCTTACGCCGGCCTCCGGAGACAGAGTTCGTGACAGAATCCAGCACCAGTCTGAAGACGCTGTCGTTGCTCCTTGATTAGAAGGGGCCCCCACCCTGTAATAGTGACCATAAGGATTATATAGGATTATATTAGGGCCCTATTATATTCCTATTATACCACTATTACAGGGTGGGGGCAGCTTCTAACTCCTTGAAGTCTGGCCAAGGCGGGCAAGACAGGGGAGTTAATCGTTTGAACAGGGTTTTGGGGGTCTACTGTAACATATCTGTAATAAGGAACCCTAGAAAATACTGCTTGTATTCGTTCAAGCCCTCATATCAGCACTTTACTGCTTTACTAATTACAAGATACTGAAGGAGAATAACACCTACCAATAGCCGGAATACCTTGCGGATTTTACGACTTCATGACCCAGCCTAAACCCTGAACCTGAAACACTTGATTCCGAACCCTCAATCGCACATCCTGATCCTAATTACCCTCAACTCACCTTGTACTAAGACTAATATTCAGATTAATCCTAATACTAAAATTAAAGTAGCACTAATACTAATTTAACACTAACAATCATACGAATACCAATGGGGTAAGAACAAGCGGATTTGCGGCGTTCCAAAGAGGGTCAATTAAAACGATGATAGGGTTCAGGGCGTGGGATCATTTGGGTGGCAGCGGGGCCCGATGGGTTCTGGATGTGTTGAATGATCTAGGCTTCAGGGTTCGGGGTAGCGTTTGGAGATCCATTAGTTAGGGTCTAGAATTTAGGGGGTATACTTTTGAGATTTAACCCAGAGACTCCAATATCCCTTAATTAAGGGGTATACCCTAAATTTCAAAAAAGATCCCTGATATGATTTGAGGAATATTCCACAATTAAGGGATATTGGAGTCTCTGGAAGTTGTGTGAGATCTAGGACAGCAGGGCAAGAAAAGCGCCACCTTCAACTTTGAAGAGAAAGGCCCCCCCGATACTCCAACATGAGACGAGTACTCCCGGCCACTCCCGAATGCACATTGCACCCTAAACCCTAAACCCCTAAACCTTAAACCATGAATATGGGGGCTTTCGGGAATTGAGCAGGGGCTCGGGTACTGGGAATTCGCGGCTTTATGGCTTAGGGCCTAGAGTTTAGGGCATCAGGGGTTTAGAGGTTTAGGGCTTTAGAGGTTTAGGTGTTGGGTTGAGCATCATGGGTGCCCACAGCCGGCAAACTCGAGGCCACGAGTTCAATAGATGCGGACATCTGCTGCCTTCAGATGACATACCTCAAGCCCATTATCGACCTTAAAAACAATAAAAAGTCGATCCGAAAATCCTGAACCTGAAATGCATAGTCCGAATCCAAAGCCCTAAATCCAAGCGATTCCAGACCGGCTGCTTCGACTGCTCTGATGCCTTCGTATTGTTCAGGCGGATGACCTGACGGAGGACATGAAGTTCCGGGTCCTTCTATCAGATATCCGGCCATGATGGAGTTTCCGAAAATTGGGGGTACATTATTTCGGGGTCCTTACAATAAGGATCCTACTATTTAGGGTTCTAGATTAGGGTCCCCAATTTTCGGAAACTCCCTTGTAGTCGCTTGTGTCTGTGAAACGCTTTGTGTGCCTCAGCTAAGCGGAGACGCAGAGGTGGACGCGAAAACCGCGAAAACGCGAAAACCACGAAAAACACGAACACTGTAAACAAGCGAAAAATGCGAAAGCGCCAACACTAGTTTGTAGTGCTTTGTGTTTGTCGTGGTTTTCGCGTGTTTCGAGTTGTTCGTGTTTTTTTGACTTTGCATGTTTTCTTCGACTTTTTGCGCGCTGAATGCCGACTCCGCTTGTACACGACGCGCAAACTGCTCGCTTAGGCTTGTGTAAGGCCCCCGAGTTTCGTGAATTCACCTGTGGCGCTGTAAGGGGGTCTTACGAAGTGCTATACAGGTTTCAGGGATGCATAGGGTTATGAGCTTAAGACGTGGGTTCAGGGCTACGGGTTAGAACAAGGGGCCTGAACCACTACGACAAGGAGCCGCCAGGAAGAACATTGGTCGAATCCTCAACCCTCAAAGCCTCAAAACTCTGAATCCCAAAGCTTCTGAAAATCCGAAAAGGCCCAGCTGTAAAGGCCAAACCTTGAACCCTGAACCCCTAAACCCCCAAACCCCGAAGCCCCTAAAACCCCTTAAAGCCCTTCAAGCCCCTCAACCCCAAACCCCTAAACCCAAAACCCCTAAACCCCTAATTAAACCCTAAATCCTAATTAAACCGTATAGATCCCTTAAGGGATCCCTTAAAGGAGCCCTTAAGTCCCTTACAGGAACCCTAAACCCTGAAGCCGTTAAAGACCAACTAGGAGGTGCTTTTAAAGCCCTTGAAAAATGTTAGTAGGTAAGATCCTCTTAAGCCCAAGGAGGGAAATATAAAATGTCCCCAAGCCCTTAACCCTTAAAGCCCTAAACCCTAAACCCCAAATCCTAGTTAGACCCTATAGATCCCTTAAGGGACTTATAGATCCCTTACAGGAATCCCTAAACCCTAAACCCTTAAGCCCTTAAACCCTAAACCCTAAATCCTAAATCCTAATTAAACCCTATGGATCCCTTAAGGGACTTATAGATCATTTACAGGAATCCTAAACCCTAAACCCAATGAGGGAAAATATAAAATCTCCCAACGCCCTACCCTATGGATCCCTTAAGGGATCCCTTAAAGGAGCCCTAAACCCTAAACCCTAAACCCTAAATCCTAATTAAACCTTATGGATCCCTTAAAGGAGCCCTAAACCCTAGAGCCTTTCAAAGGCCAAGGGGCGCTCATTCGATTGGACTTTCCGCTCCCCCGGGAGCTCGGAGTCTGCTCCGCCCGGCTGCTGCGAGGTCGCCTTGGAGTCCTTTGGATAGGAGGCAAGGGCTATTTAGGGGCTTAGGGTTTAGGGGTTTATAGGGTTTAAGGGCTATTTTAAGATTTAAGGTTTGGGGTTTAAGGGCTTAGGGTTAGAGTTTAAGATTTAGGGTTCAGGGGTTTAGGGTTTAGGGCTATTTTAAGATTTAGGGTTCAGGGGTTTAAGGGCTATTAAGGGTTTAGGGTTCAGGGGTTTAGGGAACTCGTTTAAGGGCTATTTAAGGTTTAGGGTTTAAGGGTTTAGGGTTAGAGTTTAAGGGTTAAGGGTTTAGGGTTTAGAGTTTAAGGTTTCGGTCTCCAGGGTTAAGAGGCTACTGTATAGGTACTACCAAGGTACTATAAGGCGCCTTGGAGTCCTTTGGATAGGTTTAAGGGCTATTTAGGGGCTTAGGGTTTAGGGTTTAGGGGGTTTAGGGTCTACTTGGAGTCCTTAAAGGGATCCCATAGGGTTTAGGGGTTTGGGGTCTACTTAGGGTTCCTAAAAAGGGATCTATAAGGGCTCTATAAGAGGGTTTTAGGGTTACTTAAAGGGTTTAAGGTTTAGGGTTTAGGGATCGTGGGACTTAGTAAGTATGGTTATAAGTACCTCAAGTGGGGTTATAAGTAGTTATAAGTATAGCTACCCTAATTATAACCCTGGTTACTAAGTCCCATGATCCTTTAAGTAGGTTTCAGGGTTTTGGGTTCGGGTTTAGGATTTCGGGTGTAAGGTTAGGGGTTTAGGGTTCAGGGTTTTGGGTTCAGGATTTCGGGTTTAGAGTTTCGGGTCTAGGGTTTCGAGTTTAAGGTTTCGGGTTCAGGGTTTCAGGTTTAGGGTTTAGGGTCTTGGGTTTAGGATTAGAAGCCAAGAAGTTTAGGGTTGAGGATTTCAGAAGAGATGTAGGATGTAGGTATGAGGGGGCCTTATCAAATTCCCAGACGCAACCAAGGCCCCATGACTAGGCAAGAATCACGATACGCAAAATTCAGTGTGTATTCATCGATGGATAAAACAACAGTTTTGGAGTCTCTGGGTATGGAAGAGAACCGTACAACCAAGTCAAATGATGCCCATCAAGGTCTGGTTACCCCTGCTCCCGTGCGGCTGGCTAAGGGCGGCTTAGGGGGCTTCTAGTGTTGGGTGTTGGTCTTTAGGATTCGAAGGGTTTGGGCTTTGAGCTCAGCATTTAGAATACTATCTGCAAGGGCGGGGGTGGGGCGTCGTAGCAGGCCGAAAGGCCAGCGTGGTTCCCACACCGAGGAACAACTCTCACCCTGAAACTGCGCACCACCACGCCCGGAAAAGGAATCACCGGACCCTCACTCCAAAGTACGAACATAGGTGCGCTCAAAACGTTGGAGATACATGCTAGCCTTAACAGCTGGGCTTCCTAACCCTAGCCCGAGACTCGCAACCGTAACCCCCAGACCCTGAACCCCGTGTCTCGCCACGCAGCTGGCGCCCAAACCATCGCCGCGGAAAGCAGAAGCAGTCCGAAAGGCCCATGGCTCAAACCCTAAAACCATAAACTACTATTTGCTTAAGAACCCCCAAAAAATAAAAAATAATAATCCCTATATTATCCCTATAAGGAATATATTTTTTTGTTTTTGGGGGGTTCTTAAGCAAATAGTAGTAAACCGTCTATGCTGCCACAGGGGCCAGCACAAAGTCCATTCGACAGGACTGAGGACGACAAAGGTTTTGCTAAGGGTACCTTTGGAAGGTTGTGGCCAAACCTAACACTAGCCTCTGCACTAAATTAAACCCAGGTAGCTACCCTAAACCCTAAACCCTAAACTACCGACTGGAATGCAGGTATGGGTTGCTTCTTTCAGATATTCACAGGATGACGACTGTGCACTCACTTTATCGATACGTGGTCAACATGGCTGCACGTGTTGCCGGCTGGGATGTGACTTTCAAAAGAAGCATCTTACCTTGCGCCAGCCAAGACACACCCGGGCGGTTGAGAGTAGAGATTCCGCTGGAATTGCAGGCTGTTGTCGACTTCGAAACACTTTGAAGTCGACTTGTAACCACCCACGAACATTGAAGAAGGGTAATTAGGGTTCAGGGTTGGGGGTTCGGGGTTTTGGGAATGGGGTTTAGGGTTCAGGGTTTAGGTTTAGGGTTTGGGGTTGCCATGTTTCTGCAAGGTTTCTCATCTAGCAGATTCTCTCCGGTCTCGAGGAAGACTCAAGCCCAATGTCATCCAATGACAAAGTTTAGCTGCCAAGTGCCGTCATGGTTTGGGGTTTAAGGTTTAGGGTTCGAGCATTCTCCAAGACCAGCCTTGATTTACCACGCGGCCGACTCTTCAGGCACAGCCTGTGCACGTCTTGGTCGTGGGCTTGCCGAACCGACCGATCCCTGCGACAGAGCCCGCAGCTCCTTGCTTCGGGCAAGTCGCTGCAGTCGCCACATCACAGCTGGAGCACAGGCAAACATGTCCTCCAGCTCGGCATAGAGCCGCTTCAACCCCGGAGACGCTCCACGCTTCGGCTTGCTGGCATACGAACTTAAGGTTTAGGGGCACTCCTTAGCGAGCCACGAGGGCATGGGCAAGAGCGGCCTGAAGCCGGGTTTGCGGCAGAAAACACAGATAACCCTAAGACCTTAACGAAATCGGTTGGGTTAGGATTTATAGGGCCTAGGGTTTGTGGTTCAGGTTCGAGTTGGGAAGATTCATGTTGAGGGTACAAGGCTTCGGTGTGTGGGAGGCGCCTATCGAACTATAGGTGCCATGGGGCGTGTCGTCTACGAGAGAACCAAGGGTACCTTGCTCGGAGGTCCGTATAATCAGGGTCCCAGTATTTGGGGATTTGGTCAAGGGTGCCGTAGCTTTCTGGCACCCCACTTCCAGCAGCAAAAAACGGCAGCTCCTGCAGCACTGGTTCAGTTTAAGGTTCAGGGTTTAGGACTCGGTTTAGGGCTAATAAAAGGTTTACCTCCGGGCCTGTTTACCCTAAACCCTAACATATAGAGGCCACAATATTAAGGATAGGGCATTGGGTAAATTCTACTTATTTCCGGGCCATAAAGATCTTAGAACCCTAGGCCCTGAAGCCCTACACTTTGAAATATCAACACGAACAACAACACAAACCACTCTCTTCGTATTGTAAGGTCATAGATTTATTACCAGGAAATAGTTGTAGAATTGTAGAATCTGGATATAGCTGTAGAAATATGACCGGAATCTAGTTGTAAACCTCCTATCATAAACTAGTTGTAGAAGCCTGGCACCAGCTTTCGGAGACCTTATCTTTACAATATGAAAATCTGGAAACCTTAAACCCGACACCCAAGAGCGGCATGTCTTTTACCATCGCCGAGGGCCGGCAGACGGAGGTTTCGATCCCGGCACGGCAGCATTCCTGAGCTCCCAGAAAACTTCAATTTCTTAACGCCAGAACCCAACTCAGCCGGAAGCCCAGCAAGCCATGCTGCCAGAACAGAGAACTGCCAACAGATGTCGAAAACCTGCGGGAAGACACGGAACCAAACCAAACAAATGGCCTGACCTGTTTTGCACTCTGACTCGTTCAACTCTCAACCCTCAACCTTAAACGCGCAACCCCAGTTCCTGCGCCATCTTGCTTCTCCAGTATCCGATGGGAACTCAATGCTAACCTTTGGGATTGTGCACATATTATACCTACTCTGTCAAGCACACTCATCGAACCCTGATGGAACTCTTACACCCATAAGGCTCAGGCGATGTTAGAGGGGTACCCACTCTACTACTAAGCGCGGAAAGCCCTAAATCCTCCTACTACTAGACTTTGAAGTAACCAGGGAGAAGAAAGTATAGACTTTTATTTCATAATGGTTCCTATAAGGCTTTAAGGAACAGGTACCAAAAAACGTATTCAAGTATGGTACTCCAAACCCAGAACTACTAGGCCATCAAGCCAGCAACCCGCTTGCCTCCAACTCCACGGCTTCAGGTGCCAGGCCGGAACCCGACTAAAACCGAAGCGAAGCCTAAACGGTTTAAGGGTTAGGGGCTCTAAGGGGTTTTAGGGGTTTAGAGCTTTAGGGGTTTAGGGTTTAGGAGTTTAGGGTTTAGGGGTTTATGTCAACTTCCCAAGCCCAGCCGCGAAACAACATCCTCAACTTGCCCCCCAAACACAATACAATCCCCTTTAGAAGAAAGAGCCAGAAAACGCTACAAAACCACAAGAAAATACCGATTTCGAGACGAAGCAAAGCAAGCGATGCCTCTGACAGCCGGGGCTCTTCAGAACCCAGAGCTGCCGAAGAAATCCGTCGAAATCCTCGTCTTAGGGTTTAGGGTTCAGGGCCCGAGCCGTAAGGAGCTGAGGTTTTTGAACTTTTTTAAGGTTTGGGGTTTCGGGCTTAGTGTTTTGAAGAGGGGTGGGGTTGAGCCTTGTTTGTTCCAGAGCCCTTTTCCAACTGCCGGAGACCCCGGCCGGTCGCAGTTTAGGTTTGAGAGTCCAGGGTTTAGGCCGTAGCCTAACTACCAAACCCTACTTTTTGCAGGTTCTTATTGTCAACCTGAATCTGGGACTTCAGAGGGACCCTACACAAATGTAGGCTTTGGTAGGTTAAGGTTGGGTTTAGGTTTAGGGAGGGTCGTGAAGGGCCACATAAACAGGGCACTACTTAGAAGGGTTGTGCAAGTTCTTACACGGGTCGCATCTGGGCTCGGTGAGACCCTTGGCTTGCTAAGGTGTGTTCTCCGTTTGTTGTATCTGAAAGATTTGTGCTTAGGGGTGCGGGTTTTGGGTCTAGGTTTCTGGCAAGATTTATGGATGCTTAAAGGATCATGGGACTTAGTAACTAGGGTCATAATTGGGGTGATTATGTTTATAACCTCGGCTAAGGCACTTATAACCTTACTTACTAAGTCCCATGACGCTTCAAGTAGGTTTTGCTAAACTCCTTTTTACTGATGCCTGAACAACGGTCAGGCCAAGCAGGCTTATGTGCAGGTTTAGGCTTCAGGGCTCGAATAGTTCAAGCGTCTTGACGATTGGAGTAGGGTTGAGTCGGGGAATACTTTTAGGGGCCTAAATAATTACCAAGAGCATTTTGGGGGTTCCTGGTTAGAATTATAGTAGACAGGGCCCCAAAAACCATGTTCTAATGATGAAGGCCCCTATATTATTGTATTTAGTAGGATTCTGCTAGAAACTGGAGGATCTGTTCGAATTGGTTCTGTCCCGGGCTTCAGGTGTTAAGGCTTAGTCAAAGGTTCAGAGGCCAAGCATTTGGTGAAACCCTATGCCGCACACTATGAAGAAACTACTCCTAGGCCCGAAACCAGACAAACAGCATGGCCCTGCCTGATAAATGAGAGTATAGGGCTTCGGGGTATATTAAACTATGATCATAACCAGAACTTCAAGCACTAATATTGGTACCTGTTCAAACTACAGTAATTACATCTTTCTGTAAACCCTGCACAGTGGGATCTTCCCGTTGAATGCCTCGAAATCAATTACCCCTGAATTTGAGAACGCTGAACCCCTTGTGAAACCCTAACTCTAAACCCTCAACCCCTAAAGTGCTACAAACACAACCCTAAACCCTATAGCCCGATGACGCTTACAGAGCCCTTTAAGGGAACCCTTCTAATTAGTACCCTAAACCCTGTTATACTGTTGATGATATAAATCCTGCATTCCCTTAAGGACCCGAAACTATGGAAAATATGGTATATTCCTTACCATGGGTGATGCAGGATCTAAATTTATATCATCAACCGCAGTACCCTAAAACCCTCAGGGGAAACTGTCCTCCGACTCAGCAGAGCACTGCTCCACCCATGCGGGGGTAATTCCTCGTCCCGAACCACAGAGCCTGTAGTCGGTCTAGAGTTTGGGGGCTTATACTTAAAGGATTCATTAAAAGGTCTTACAAGGGCTCCTTTAAAGGGCTCTATAAGGGTACTATAAGGTTTAGGGTTCCTGAAAGGTCTAGAGTTTGGGGGCTTATACTTAAAGGATCCATTAAAAGGTCTTACAAGGGCTCCTTTAAAGGGCTCTATAAGGGTACTATAAGGTTTAGGGTTCCTGAAAGGTCTAGAGTTTGGGGGCTGATACTTAAAGGATCATGGGACTTAGTAACTATAGGGTTCCTTAAAGGGCTCCTTTAAAGGGATCTATAAGGGTTCTATAAGAGGGGGGGTTAGGGTTACTTAAAGGATCATGGGACTTAGTAACTAGGGTTATAATTAATTAAGGTAACTATACTTATAACCCCAATTAAGGTACTTATAACCTTACTTACTAAGTCCCATGATCCTCCAAGTAGGGTTTATGGGGGTTGCAGGGTTTAGGCTTCTTAGGGCTTAGGGCGTTGTGGTCTGATGGTCGGGGGGTTCAGAACCTTTAGGGTTCAAGGTTTCGGGCTTGAGGGTCTTCGGGTCTGGGGCATTTCGGGTTCAGCGTCTCGGGTTTAGGGCTTTAGAGTTTTAGGGTCGAGGGCTATTGCAAACAGCAGATTGTCACGCAGAGCAAGAACGTCAAGAACTA